ATTGGCATTTAGTTTACTTAATTACAATAAAACTACAATAATAAAATCACTGTTTCTTGCCCTATAGGCATACTGTTATCAGATAACGTTTCAGCATAGTCACGTCACTAAAAGTGTCTTCTGGAATTGAAAATCGCACATTTATGTGAATTAAATTAAAGTTAAATTAAGTACAGAAAGAATATATTATATACTGAATTTATTTTCAAAAGAATGAGTTCCATCCATCCATTTTCATCCGCTTATCCGGAGTCGGGTCGCGGGGGCTGTAGCCTAAGGCGAGAGGCCCAGACTTTCCTCTCCCCAGCCACTTGGGCCAGCTCCTTCGGGGGAATCCCAAGGCGTTCCCTGGCCAGGTGAGAGACATAGTCCTTCCTGGGTCTACCTTTAGGTCTCCTCCTGGTTGGACGTGCCCGGAAAACCTCACCAGGGAGGTGTCCAGGAGGCATCCTGACCAGATGCCCGAGCCACCTCAGCTGGCTCCTCTCAATGTGGAGGAGTAGCGGGTCTACTCCGAGCCCCTCCCGAATGACCGAGCTTCTCACCCTATCTCTAAGGGAGAGCCCAGCCACTCTTTGGAGAAAACTCATTTCGGCCGCTTGTATTCGCAATCTCGTTCTTTCAGTCACTACCCAAAGCTCATGACCATAGGTGAGGGTAGGAACGTAGATCGACCGGTAAATCGAGAGCTTCGCCTTCTGACTCAGCTCTCTCTTCACCACGACAGACCGGTACAACGCCCGCATCACTGCAGATGCAGCACCAATCCACCTATCGATCTCATGCTCCAGTTTTCCCTTACTCATGAACAAGACCCCAAGATACTTAAACTCCTCCACTTGGGGCAGGACCTCATCCCTGACCCGGAGAAGGCATTCTACCCTTTTCCAAATCAAGACCATGGTCTCAGATTTAGAGGAGCTGATCTTCATCCCAGCTGCTTCACACTCGGCTGCAAACCGCTCCAGTGAAAGCTGAAGATCATGTTCTGATGAAGCCAACAGGACCACATCATCTGCAAAAAGCAGAGACCTGATCCTCAGGCCACCAAAACGGATGCCCTCCACACCTTGGCTGCGCCTAGAAATCCTGTCCATAAAGTTATGAACAGAATCGGTGGCAAAGGGCAGCCTTGGCAGAGTCCAACTCTCACTGGGAACGAGCCCGACTTACTGCCGGCAATGCGGACCAAGCTCTGGCACCGGTCATACAGGGACCTAACAGCCCGTATCAGAGGGCCTGGTACCCCATACTCCCGGAGTACCCCCCACAGGGCCCCCCGAGGGACGCGGTCAAACGCCTTCTCCAAATCCACGGAACACATGTAGACTGGTTGGGTAAATTCCCACACACTCTCCAGGATCCCCCTAAGGGTATAGAGATGGTCCAGTGTTCCACAAGAATGAGTTTTCTTAATGAAATAATTGTTACTCCTGACAATCCCAACAGCCAGTCCAGATGGAGGGGAGGGCCAATGGTTTGCATGTCAGAAAAGGTGCAGCTCACATCTGTTTGTAATCCAGAAACGTTTGAGTTTGAATTGAAAAAGCTGCTCAGGTGAGAAACAAATTATCCTTAAAACAAAAGGAGAGCCAGCTGCCTTTGTTTTACTGGGACATCTTAGCAACTTCCACATAAACAGATCTGAAGTTTGGTCATTTTTGCTGATGTACTGATGATGTTTCAAGTTGGTCAAAAATGTACAAATAAAAAAAACTTTTCTCATTTTCATAGCTTGTCAGAACCTTTCGTGCACTATCCTCAATAACTTTATATTTTTGTTGACTAAATGAGTCTCATCTCTAGCAAAACACTCAAAACAAACAGGCAAGTGAAAGTTGGAAAAATCTGATTAAAATTTATTTGAACACATGACCATACATAATCCAACACATGCATCATGTAGATGTACCAAGACTCTGCTGATCACAATGCTGTCATAGTACAAAATAGCAATATGTTTTTTCCGTTGGGTATATGATATACTGATATCTTCTAGTTTGCACAAAGTACAGACAAAATACCACAACTTTATACAAAGGAACAAGTAACTCGTGCTGTGCTCGGTATTGTAGCCCTCATTCCTAACATCTGTACGATTAAAAATCAGATTATTTGAGCCGTCTTCACCATCTGGATGGACGGTAAAGGAGGATAGAATCAGTCAAAAGGAAACATGAACAATATAACAGAAACAAGCAGGATTAACTACTTTCTATAATAAAGTAGTGCTGCTGTTTAAGGCTTTAATACACAGGTTTTAAAGTTCAGACACTGAAATGAAAAACATAATCGGCTAATAACACTCTGGGAAATTGAAGTGCATACATTCATTTAGGCTGCAGTGAAGCTTAACGTGATTTTTAGGATTATTGACTTTTGGTGAATCTGTTCAAAAACATGTCAAGTATGAAAGTTATGAAGGTTTAATGGAACTTTGTTTCTCATTTTCAACATGTCCATTTTAACTCTAAATTCTGAGATATGAAATAGAAATAACAATAATAAATATAGTTTTAAATTTGAACTTTTTACTGGCTAATGTTAAAGTAACAATTTCTTTTATATTTATATGTATTCTAGAACAATATCACAGTCATAAAGCAAAATAATCTACCATCGCTGCATGTAGATCCACCACCAGGGGGCAGAAGACATGTTTAGGACTGGATTTGGCAGGTTTTTGTTGAAAGTGCTAATACTAATACTCCTTCTGACCTCAGAATTGGTTTGATGTGATTATATGACATAAGCTGCAAGGGGTCAAAATAAATTGCCCCCCCCCCCCCCCCCCCCCCCACACACACACACACACATGCTACAAGTGTTGAAATAAAAATATAAAACAATACATAAAGCTATTTTCACTCATGAAGCAGTAATGCATTTGTTATTTCTAAATAATTAAAAAACAGGAATTTTACAATGTGTGTGTTCTCTCTCCAAATGAGTAAATGATTCTTTAGAAAAGTATAGCGTTATGTGATTGAACATTTTTATCCAAGCCCAAATGGAAACAGTAAAAATGAGCAAAAATGCAATAAACCTCCAGGTTTGATCATATTTGTTTAATATGGTTTGTCTCTGTGCCAACCTACCAAGTGGTGAGAAGGCCAACGTGTTGTTTGTGCATTCACCTGGCGTCACATTTTCACTTTCATATTGGTACAAAAGACAAAGAACTCAAAATGAATAAAATACATTTGTCCTCATCTTTATTTAACCAATTTGCCAATAATTAAAGGAAAAGAAGCACCAATGAGAAATGATGAAACATACCCAAACATCTGTGGTGCTGCAACGATGTGCTGTCTGTAAACATCCTGGTTCAACACTAATAGAGATAAAATAGAATTTCCTGTTTGTAGGGAGCACAGCAATAAAACACAGCTGCTTAAACATTCATATTTCTACTTTAGGTTACTTTTACCAACATGCTGAATCTGCAGCTGATTCAGAATCATGCAACAGCCTCGTAAAGCATTTAACTATTACAGGAGAACAAAAGGTCTGCTTTGATTGGAGGTTTTCTGGATTTGCTCAAATATGTTTGACGGCCGACTCGTAATGGGAGGGCCACACAAATTCATGTATTTGGATTTGTGCTTCTTTGTTTTTCAGTTTAACAGGAATGAGAGAGGGACATATGCTGAACCCCCCCCCCCCCCTCCTGTACGACTGAAAAAAGGCAGTTAACTAGAACAGAGACACACGTGCTTAAGATCTGAAATAAAACAACAAAAATGTACATTACAGTAATTTTTTATTATCGCTCTACTTCCACTGGATCTCATGTGTGGTTCACATTAAAGGTCCATCATTAATGGTTGAATGTGGAACAATTTGATGAAAAGATATATATTTTTAAATATACCTCCATGGGGCATTTACAGGTGCGCAGAATGAAGGTACAGTATTTCCTTTAAAACCAATACTTTAATTTAAAAAATAATCAAATATTTATTTTGATGGGCACGACACTGGGTTTATGTTTACATCTGCCAGCCAATAGAGGGCATCGTTGCTGGTAGCCAAGCATTCCGGTCGGCACAGCGAGGCTGGCACTGTGGAAAATGACAGACTCCGCTAGTCAAGCAGCTGCTTCTGAGCCCAGAAGATGTTATTGTCCTTCTCAGAAGAGGAGTGACCACAAAAGATCTAAAACCTGAATAAGTTGAAGTGAAGCCTGGACCCAGATAAAAAATTTCTTGCATCGGCAGCGAACCTGGTATCTCAACAGTTGGAATCTTTGTTCTAATGTTGCAAGTACAACCTCCACACACTAGATGTCGCTTTGGTGTTCGTGTTCCATATTCCAAATTTAATTCTTTTGCAGTGATCTCTAGTAGGAACGAATGCCTTGTAAGTTGTACTCTGGGGAAAAGAAGCCCCGGTGCACCCGCAAGCATCTGATCCTTTTCACACAATCTCACTCCACACCTCCAATATCTCATTAACACCCCCCCCCCCCCCCGCGCTCTGCCGGTCAGTGGAAAAGGTGAAACGGTCCGCGCCCCCTCCCCCCCACGCTTTTAAATGTTCAAAAGTTGGCAGCCCTGAGAAGTTAGCCAGATCAGAAAACTGTTTCCAACAGCAGGATTTGGAGTCTTGTTCCCCGATATTCAGACATCTCGCTTCTGATTGGCTAACAGCAACATGACTCTACCACTGACTCAGTTTGCTCTGCAACATTGAAGTTTATCTCCACAAATAACTCAAGCCTGAAAGAGTTCTGCCATGTTGTGGAGTTGCTAATGCTAATGGTTAGCTTCTACTAGCCAAGACGTTCCCTGCAGATTCTTGTACGCTAAACCAACAACAGCCTTCCCCATTTTGAGTCAAGATGGATGAATCCATGAATGTTAAGTTACAGTGTGATGTAAATCTGTCAGGCTTTTCTAATCCTAGAGTTTCACCATCTTTTTTCTATCAGAAAGAAGCCGGGAGGCTATTGTCATGAAAAACCCAGAGTGACCAATTATAATCAGACATAATTATTAAAAAAATGTTTTTTTCAGTGAACCACACCTTTAATTTGGAGATTTTTAGAATGAGTCATCAATGTTTAATTTTAGTGTAACTGACAAAAAAAAAGAGAATTTGTGATGATAAAAACATGAAAAATAATTTACAACTGTGAGACTTTGGCCCAACTTAAGTCTGCTTTAAAAAAATCTTTTATGTTGATCTCTAGCAGCTATTCAGTTCATTATTTTTTATCTCCAGCTACTAGAAGAGGCAAATTGTGCTTTTATGTTGCTTGGTCCTGCACAGGAAGAATTAGTGCTGGAAATAAAACCGAGAAGCCCTCAAAATTCTGGGTTTCATGACTAAAATGTGTTTTACCCCATGGGCGGGAAGTTGGAGGGCTAGCAAGAGACAACAATAGACTGGACACTTAGGATGCTAACTGGAACTCACTATGAACCATCGCCAGTGACTGTCGCATAAATAAAGAACATCTTGTGAGAAACAACAGCTCATTTTTTACCCCCCCAAAAGCTGTCAGTCAGAAAAGTTCTCAAACCATCACGAAGCATCTGGGTTGTCAAAATCATACCATTGTAGAAAGGTTACAAATAATAAACATTATCATAAATATACAATGCTTTATATACAGCTTTATGAAAAACCTCAGTTTAGAGAAACAGACCAAAATGTGTTGCTGCACCCTTAAAAAAATCTAGACTCAAAATTCACAGCAATCCATGCAAATGTTATTTTATAAACCATGATTTCACTTTACATGGTCATTTTGGTGGAATTATAATGATATTCTAGCATGAGGTTGAACAGCAGTGCTACAGCTTAGCTGCTGCTACAATTAACCACACAATGCCACATAAATACACACGTGAGTCAATGCGATGTAACGCCTTTATCCAACAGCATTTGCATCAACAGCCAAAAACTGAGTATAAAGTTGTTTTAGGTTGTCAGATTTTTTATTCTGTTATCATTCCTGCTGGTACTAGCTGTTAGTTTGTCAATCTGATCTGTTTTTTCTAACTGAGGCATTTGAACGCGCTATCTACAATAGTTAGGATATTATTTTCTAACCCAATTGAAAATATGGTTTTGAACAGAAGCCAACAGATTTTACAAATTTTTATTCAAATATCACAATTTCCCCAAAAGATGTTACCAACTTAACCCCGTATCTTCATCTTATATCTTAGATTTAAAATTTTTAAATGATCTAAAGCCAGAAAACTGGTTTTATTAAAAAAAAAAAAAAAAGACAGATAAGCTTGGCACAAGGACAAGTGGACATACCTATTTGGCGGACTGGCTTGACAAGTGCAGGTTTGTATATTAAAGGTCCAAAATGTCAGAGAGTGAAAGTCACATCGGTGTGGGAGGAGTGGTGACAATCAGCAGAGAGTGATCAATAACTTGATGCTTGTGCTGATAACTAGCAGCAGTTTCATCAGGGCGATGGGTGACATCACTTCAAACCGCTTTAGACAAGATGCGATTGTCAAAGGTGAGAGATAACGGCCTTGTGGCATTTCCACAACAGGCATTTTCAGTCAGTAAAGCAGAATCTTAGATTAGCAACATTTACAAACTAGGAGATGAACCTGTGCTTCATGTACATACTCAGACGCCTTCACTGCTTGTTGAAATCTTAAACCAAATATGCAAGTTTTCGGAAGTTTCAGGACCTAGAAAACGGCCACTGAACCATGAGTGTGTCCATCACAGCAGTAACAGCTGTGGGATTGTTGGCAGTGATGTTGTACGGAGTCGTGGGACATCAGTAACGTTTTCATGCTAACTAGAGCTGCACACATGCATTAAAGAGGCTCCGCTGCTCCCGTTCAGCAGAGGACAAGAGCTGCCTTCTGCCGCCGACTCCAGCATCGACTACAAGGTTAAAACTGGAGCTTTACAATAAGAGACCTGATTGGCTGTTACTTTTTGATTTTTTGAGCAGCTTCTTCTTTTTTTTCTTTCTCTGAATGAGCCACAGATCCCACTAATCTCTGAGTCCTCTGGCTTTGCGTTAGTCTCCTCTTAGAAACCTCTTCTCAGCAGTGATTGGCTCTGGGCTTGGCTCCATCAGATTCCTGCCCATGGACGGGTCTGCATCGGAAACACTGACGTCCACACTCATGATGGCTGACGTGTCCGAATCACTCCTGAGCGGAGGCCGGTACTCACCTTAGCAAGAAGACACATTTACACCACTGAGTCTGTATTCTTTAAACTGTTGGAAGGCTGCAATGGCCTGCTTTCGCCACACGGAGGCAGCAAAAACTACCAGTGCACACAGAACAGATTTAAGTGTACATACTGCTTGCCATGATGTGGCTCCGTCTGTCCTGCGGTGCTGTTTCGACATCATCATGAAGCTGCTGCAGATCCATCTCATCTTCTGCAGGATCCAGAACCACAGAGCTCTCATTAACCGTGATTTGGCTCGCAGCGCTGATGGGATTGGTGAGAGGACCCCCGCCTGTCGCCTCGTAGTCTGGAGGAGTCTCATCTGTGCAGTCTGCATTGAACTGTAACATCCCAAACAGATCTCAGAGGGGGATCTTTTACTCGGTGTGAACAAAAACCAGTTTGGAGATGTAATTTTTGCATTTAATTGGCTTAAATATCAAAGTAATTAGAAGTTAATAACGCGAGTATTATTTTAAATTAGTGTAAGTGAGGCAAAATGAACTAAGATCATCTGATACAGAAAAATAATCTTGTTGCGGTTAATAGTTTTTATTCAAACCTGCGTTGTGAAGCTTAAATAGCAGCTTAAAGGGACATTCCACCCCTACGTGAAATTTTGTCTATTTCCGTCTTCAAGATTTTATAACCAGCGCAGTCTGGCAGCAGTCTGTCTGCTTTAGCTTAGCATAAATAATGGAAGTGAATAGCAGAAGTTAGCATTTTGTGTGCAGAAGATATTAGTAGTGGTAGTGAACATAAGAGTTCAATCAGAAGTCAGGATTTGAACTATCCAGTAGAACGCCATTTTAATGCCTTTTCACATCCTGTATCTTGACTCAGATTCCAGGGGATTGAACATATTTCATTACATAGAGGAGGTGACATAGTTCTGGATTTACACTTTGAATACACTTCACCCACTATGGTTTAAATGAGGATTTTGAAATGTCTGTATTTCTCTAAGTAAATATATATTGTTGGATTATTTAGTAAATCTTATAGCCTTGCTTTATGATGGCTTTTTAGCTTGATGCTTGCAATGTATAAATCTCTCCCTTTGGTAGATGATTTAGAAGTGTTTGTATATGATTTTGTAAGCTTTTAAAGTGAAGTGCACTTTGTTTCACGAAATGGGACGCCATTGCCCATAATGCCTTGCTGTATTGAATTACACAGGTGTTTTACATCAAATGTCCTCTTTAACTAAGGACTCGCTGTACGAACATACACAATTTCTGATGAAGGTCTTGAGACTGAAAGCTCAATAAAAACAATCGCAGATTGAAGTGGGGGCGCGCATTAGGTGCAATGTATTTTTCTACCTCTAGATGGCGACCTCTGACAAAAAACTCTGGATTTGTGCGTTAAACATTTGGTTCCTGTCTCACGTCATATAAAATCCATTCAGAGGTTCATGGAATATTTTGCTAATGCTACACACACACACACACACTGCCATCGGCAACAACAGTATTGCCTGTCAATGTTAAAAGGTGGGAGTTAAATGAAAAGAGCTTACCGGGATGCCCAGAGCTTTAAGGATGTTCATTTTGCACATTGGACATGTTCGGTGGTCTTTTAGCCATGGATCTACGCAGTGTTTATGGAAGACATGTCTGAACAAAACAAAGGAATACATTAGAAAAACATGCATGCTCACTATACAATGATACAGTAAAATGGTAAATGTTAAATGTCCTGCATTTATAATAGCACCTTCTTAAGGATCTACAACTCCCCAAGGCACTTCACAATACAATCAGTCATCCACCCATTCACACACACATTCATGCTGGTGGTGGATGAGCACAGATGCAGCCACAGCTGCCCTGGGGCACACTGACAGAGGTGAGGCCTGTATTAATAGTACATTTTGGTATTTATTGTGCATCTCTGCTAAAAGGAAAAAAGTTTATGCATTTTCCCCACAAATGCTAGAAAATTTGAAAATGTTATATTTAGTGCATGTGTTATCAGAGTGGTCAGGCACACACAAACCTACCTGCATGGTAATATTCTCACAACATCATTAGGTTTATAACACTCGATGCAAACTGCACAGTTGTCAAAATCTGACTCAATTTCCTAAACACCAAAAAGACACAAAAATATTCCTCAGGTGAATCATCCAGATCTCATTTATGCATTGCATAAGCTAAAATACGAATAATTAGTCAAGTATAATTTCTACTTTTTCTTTGTTGAAACTTAAACTTACATAGCAAAGAAATCCTAAATATTATTATGTTTAAAGAGTTATAGAATTATTTTCAATTCTTTTATGAGACAGTTTATTCATTTGGTCTTTCAAGCACCGCTGTTTGAACTAAGAAACGTTGCACTAAATATTAATAATAGTCCAGCGACTAAGATTACATCCAGCGGTGTCAGGTTTTTATCATTGCGGTCCAACAAAATTTATCTGACCTGGAAAATTATCAGAGTTAAAAAAAAAAGGTCTTGTTGAAATTTACGAAGTTGCTGCAGTCAAAGCAAGTAAAAAACAGGACAGATGTCTGAACGTGGTGACCAGGGGGCAAACGCCGCCTGCCAACGCAAAGCCAACCAGAATGGGACAAAATAAACTCAATTTCTAGAATTAATTCATTCATCACAGCAGAATATTAATGTTACTCAGCAATTATTCAAGAGCACTTTTGAATTAAAAGTAAAATGATTTTACATTAAATGTTTTATGAAAAAAAAATTAGAAAAGAATAAGATGGGGATTAACTAGCAATGAACTGATCGTAATTTTGTGGGCCAGTACCAATTCCTGATTCTTGTACAACTCTAAGAAGCTGATAACCTGATTCTGATCTGTTTTAAAAATACTAAAGAGTGAATGAAACAAAGAAAGAATAAAAAAAAATTACTAAGTTGTACAAGATGATTTCATTAGAAATGGTTTGTTCAAGGACTCGAAAAATGTCGGATTTTTTATTGCTGCTTTGCAGACTGTTGAAAAATACGATTTTTGAGTTTTCAGATTGGCTGATCACTGATTAAGTAAAATATTGGCAATTTTTATTTTGTGCGTCTCTAAAGAAATTAAAACAAACAAACAAAAATAAATAAATAGATGGAATTTTAAAATAGCTTTTGGCTTCTATAAACATCTTATTTTAGCAGCTTGTCTATCATTTAAAATTTAGACATCTCATTTACCTTGTCTCCTTTCTTTAAGGTGCGCACTTGGAGCTTACTGATTGCTTTTTTAGCAGCATCTCCAAGACGCCTCTGCAGAAAAAAAAACACATTTAATCACCAATAGGGTCAGAAATAATTAATTAATGGGAATAAAGTGTTTTTCAGATAACTTAGCATTGTGTTATTGGTCTGAAAACACTGAAGCAATTCAATTAGCAGTAAAATGTATATAAACTTGAACATTTACTCCAATATTCAGGCCTGACTTCAAAGTAGGGCTGGGCGATATGGCCTAAAATTAATATCACAATATATTGAGGATTTCACTTCGATAACGATAAATGGACGATAACTACAGGTATGTGTAGAAACAAAAGTTGTCCACTAGATGGGGCTGTCACATGTATTATGTTGTCACATTTTTACGTGACTCAAGGTGGAACAGCTTCTTAAGTGGACATGAAGCTGCCAACCTACACACATCTTTTCATTTTTTTATTATCAGATTTATTGACCTGGGAAAAATGATCATGATAAGAGTCAGAAATTTCAATAACGATAAATTTTCGAATTATTGCCCAGCCCTACTTCAAAGTCATTAAAACACCCACATTCAGAGCCCCCACTGCCTGATTTTTCAGCAGAGATATCATCAACTATGAAGACGAAAAGGAAGAAAAAAAGAGAAAGTAACACAGTAGCGTCCCCCAGCCCAGGCTTCTTCACTCAGTCGTACCTGGTTGTGGTCTCGTGCATTAGCGTAGCGAAACCTCTGGATGTAGTAGAAGACGAGCCAAGCCAGGGAGATGATCATGAGGATGATGAAGGAGATGGAGACAAACACCACAGATGTTCTGCTCACATACTTCTGCAGGTTGCGGGTTCCTACAGTGATGTGCATAGTGACCACAATGTGCCTCTCCAGCAGGACCACGATCTCCCGACCTTTAGGCTCTGGGATCATGACAGCCACAATGCTGTCGGTATCTGTGCAACACACCAAGCACCAGCTTAGACATCACCAAGGACACAAACAATACTCAAATTTTTGGACTTTCACTAAATGGTGGCCTTTACTCATATTTTTAATACATCTGCAATGGTCTCCAGAATGAATGCCTTGTAAGTCGTACTCTGGGGAAAAAAGCTCAGATATTCCCATTTGAGGATGTAGAAGTCAGTGGGAGGAGAAAGTGGCAGAAGACGACAAGATTTGGAGTCTTATTTGCTGATATTTGAACATCTCTCCTCTGATTGGATAACACCAACGCGACTCTACCAAGGAATCTGTTTTCTCTGCAATGTGGATGTTTTATCTCCATAAATAACACAAGCCTGGAGGAGTTCTGACATGTGGTGGAGTTGCTAATGCTAACAGTTAGCTCCTACTAATCGAGACATTCTCTGCGGTTTCCTGGACGCAAAAATATAACAACAGCCTTCCCCATTGCGAGCCAAGAGGGGCGAGGCCATGAATGTTAAGTGACAGTGTGACGTAGAGCAGTAGGGATTTTTTGAACAGAGCGTTTCATCGTCTATCAGAAGCCAACACAGGAGATAGGAGACTATTTTCATGCTCAGCCTGCATGAAAAACTCAGAGTGACTGATTGTAATCAGAAAGATTAATTAAAATGTTTTCTTAGTGAAATTGCTCTTTAAGCCAGTTTTGTCTAATTAATTTTATTATTTTTTGCAAATAAATCAAGCAACTGTGTTAAGTTTGATTAGCAGTGATGGACATGTTGAAAAGGGTTGAATCCAAGGGTTACTCAGTTTTGAAAGAACATCTAGAAATAACTTCCTGGAAGTTTTATTCAAATTCATTCCGTTATTTATGAGGTACTTTGCTAAAAGTGCAGCCAAAAACAAGCACGTGCAAAATCATTTGCAGATAACTAGTGCACAAACGCTGCTGCATTGGATTTACACATCTTCAAAAATTTTATATCCAGTATAAAGTTTAAAAGATGAAAATCAAGAGATTTGTCATTTTCCTTGCGTGCCACATCCAGCCTGGAAAGTAAAGATGATTTCTAATCCTGCCTAAACTTCATGTCTGACGACACCAAGAAGCTGTAATCGAATTACAGTAAAATACCCCCCGGCATTAATGAAAAAGCTGCTAAATGTAATAAATGAGTAACATTTACAGGGTGTTTTTCAAATTACAGACACAAATTTAATTAGCGAGCTGACCGAAAAAGCTATGTGTTGCTTTTTTACTTGCTTGAAAATAAAATAGATGCAAATGACTAAACTGATGTAATGTTTTTGAAATAAAGACTAATTTAAAAGTTGAAGAGATTTGTTTGGGGCTTTTGTTTGAACCGGCTCTCTTCTGGGAGCTTACACAGAGCAGATCAACACAATCCTCTCTCTGAGTTAAAGACTTCCTGCCAGCAGCCATCTGTTGGTTTGTGTGTTGTTTGCAACAAAGCATTTTAAAGTATAGCAGCTCCAAGAAAAAAGAACAACTAAAGGAAAACTCTTAGGAATAAGGGAAATTATAAACAAATAACTAAGTTAGATTAGATTAAACTAATTAATATTACCAAATAATACCGTATAATTCTTATGAAAAAGCACAGCAGGAAATTGACATTAGTAGTAAATGTACCCTCCAAATGGCCATCTATATAGTAAATGGTACAGTGGGATGCAGAGGTTTGAGCAGCCTTCCTGATTTTCCTGTATAAATCGTTGGTTGTTACGATAAAAACAAATCAGTTAAATATTTCATATAGTCGACACTTACAGTGATATTTGAGAAGTGAGGTGAAGTTTATAGGATTTACAGAAAAATAAAATGAGCAATATTTGTATAAACAAAATTAGACAGGTGCATAATTTTGGGCACCACAAAAAAGAAATTAACTGAATATTTAGTAGATCCTCCTTTAGCAGAAATAACAGCCTCTAAACACTTCCAGTAGCTTCCAATGAGAGTCTGGATTCTGGTCAAAGGTATTTTGGACCATTCTCCTTTACTAAACATCTCTAGTTCATTCAGGGTCAAATGGCTTCTGAGCATGGACAGCTCTCTGTAACACACACCAGAGATTTTAAATAATATTCAGGTCTGGGAACTGAGGTGGCCGTTCCAGAACGTCCTACTTGTTCCTCTGCATGGATGCCTTAGTAGATATTGAGTAGTGTTTAGGGTCGTCTTGTTAAGAGATCCAGCCCCGGCGCAGCTTCAACTTTCTCACTGATTCTTGGACATTGGTCTCCAGAATCTGCTGATATTGCATGGAATCCATGTGTCCCTCAACTTTAACAAGATTCCCAGTCCCTGCACTGGCCATGCAGCCCCACAGCATGATGCAACCACCACAATGCTTTACTGAAGGTAGGAGGTGTTTTTCTTGGAATGCTGTGTTATTTTTTCTTCATGCATAACGATCCTTATTATGTCTAAATAACTCAGTTTTAGTTTCATCAGTCGACAGCACCTTATTCCACAATGAAGCTGGTTTGTCCAAATATGCTTTAGCAACCCTCAAGCAGCTCTGCTGGTGCTGTAGGAGAAAAGTCGTCCTCTGCATCACTCTTACATGCAGCACCTCCTTGTGTAAAGTGCGCTGAATAGTTGAACGATGTACAGTGACTCCATCTGCAGCAAGGTGATGTTGTAGGTCTTTGGTAGCCGATACTAGGGCTGAACGATTAATTGCATATGCAATGAAATTGCGATGTGACAAAAGGAGGTTTTCTAATCGCAAAGGCTGCGATTTGACTGGTAGCGAGTGGTTAGCACAATGCTAATATACATGGAAGAACCCATAGGGATGCTAATGCTAATATCACCGATTACATTCTTACAAATTCCAAATTAGGAACATGCCAAATGATTACATTTGGAGTCTAATAAAATACAAAAACTGCCATCAGTCAAATAAACACAGACAGGTATTTTAGTAAAGCTAGAAAACTGTAAGAGACTTTAACGCCAGAGTTTTGGCTTGCAACTATGAATGTAACTGAACTACGGAAGCTCTGTATGGACAAGACGTCAAAAATTCTAAACACAAAGGACTTCAATAAACGGGACACACTTCTTTCCTGCCAATACATTTTCACAGTTGATGCTAAAACCTATGCTCTTTCAAGGGATGTGCTCCTGGCTGCAAAGCATAGCACCTTCAAATACAAAATTTTGTCTTTACTTGTGAGTGGTTATTTATATGTAGACAAATAAACTTGTTGATATGATATGTAGATAAATATGTAGACATATAAACTTGTTTATATTCAGTACAAGTTACAAAGGTTTTTTTTTTTGCTTCCATTAGTTGAAACGTATGAGAAAAGCCACTTGAGAAAATAATTGTGAATTAAATCGCAATTGCAATATTGAAGAAAAAAATCACAATTAGATTTTTTCCCAAATTGTTCAGCCCTAACCTCAACCATTGGGATTATATTCTTAACCATAAACTAAACTAACCTAAACTTTCATTCACACCATACCACTAAATGTGCTGGTGAAGGTTCTCAGTCATCCAGTCATGGTACTAGATGAGGGTTAAAATGAAGGCAACTGGACTTCTTTGGTTTCTTCAAGATGGGATTGGTCAAATGCTGAGAATAAATGTCACACACACACTAGTGTGTGTGTGACAACTGCTAAAGCCTTGTTCATGCTTCTCCGTCAGCTCCGCAAGGGAGAGACACGCACGGATTGACGGAAGCGTTTTGCTCTCATACTTCTCCGTCTCCTGGAGTGTTGCAAAGCAATTCCCCGGCAGGACAACAGAGGGCGTAGCGCTGTTCTGTGGTATCCTGTCATGTATCCAGTCCAAGATCGTGTGTTTATATTATGTTTTTTTGTATATAAGAGACTTTTTAACACAGACAAATTTGTCTCTCATTCTCCTCCACCTCTTCATGCGCTCACCACCTCTAAACCCACGTTTCCTGTCATTTCTGTCCACAAGTAAAACGCTTGCTGTGTATCTTATCACTCCTCCAGTCACGGGGGAATTAAACATTCATGTTTTTAAAGTTTTTTCGCGAGGTATTCTTCAAGCTTCTCCGTGTCTGCCGCTTGTTATCCTCGGCTCTCTTTATGTTTTTGAGGGCGCAATGGCAGCGCTGTAGACAACAGCAGCGTCCTGACCAATCACAAGCTTGCGTTGTCCGTCTCGACTGACGGATGTTTAGAAAGCTCGACTCCGTCCGTTCTTGCGGAGCTCTCCGGCAGGCCCGCAAGGACGTTGCGTGTCTCCGCACTGACGCAGACGGAGAAGCATGAATCAGGCTTAAGACTTTAAATTCCATCTCTAAAATTGTGTATTTGGGTGCTTAGCATTGTGTGGGCCAGCAAAATGTCCACACAGTGTGGAAATGTGCACACATTACAGGTCAAAGTCAAAATGTGTCCACTTAAACAAATAAAGACATTATGCACATACAATGGTGGTGATGAGCTACAATTTAGCCATAGCTGCGCTGGGGCACACTGACGAAGGTGAGGCTGTAGAACAGTGGTGCCACCAACCATCTGGTTGGGGTTTGAGACGGTGCTCAAACCCCAACCACCTGGTTACAGAGTAGGCACTGATGTCATCAAGCACTGAAAAAAACAATTGTAGTTGTATGATGACATTTATCTCCTTTTTAAAATTTGAGTGATTTTCTCTAACTCTGTATTTAGCATTTAGCTTGTTTCGCCAGTTTTTCCTCTAGAAGAAGAAAAATTACAACAATTAGTGTTTTTCTTTTGTTATGGGCACATGTAGACTGGTTGGACAAATTTACATGCATCACCTGTAGTAGCATTGGCGGCTGCAGGGAGTGCGGCCCCCTTTCATAAATAGGGGGACCACTACCCTGGTCTGCCAATCCAGTTGAACTGCCCCTGCTATCCCCATTATATTACACAACTGTGTGTTAGCCTACAGAAACCTCGGGCAGATCTCATCCACACCAGTGGCCCTGCCACCCACTCTAATTCTCTGACACTTTAATCTGGTGAAGCTCATCAGATGAGTTTTACATCTTCAACTCTTGAGCAAAATCACACTTATGTTAAGCATGACAATGACTCATCCTCAGTCATTTAACCAGGTTTCAGACATTCTCATTACATTTATATCACATGATGAGAAAATGACACAGCTAAGTACTCGGCAGTCTTATTCATAATTAAGCATAATGATTCCAAAAAGCATAACGACATCATATTCTCCCAGCTGCCTCGTTAAGATGGGGGCATCATGGAGTCAGGGATGCTCGCCCATCTATCCGTCTCCACAAACAGCATCCTTATAAAACCTGATGTCCCAGAGTCACACAGATCGGAACTGTTCTAACTCGGGGTGTCTGTCAAATACTAAGGATGACAAAAAAGTGTTAGTGTTAGTTGCTTTGATTTCAGCAAACATGCAGCATTTTATTTCATACTTATCAGGGGCGGCGTTAGGCCCGGCTACTTGGGCTCAAGCCCCGAATCTTTAATGAGAAGCCCCGGATCTCAAACGTGGAAGTAACATGCAGTACCAAAGTCCAACAGAGAGGGAGCAGCTGGCAGTAGTTTGTATACAGCCTGCCTGAGCCTCCACCACTGAAGAAGAAGCCCTTCAGCAGCCGGCTTCTTCTGCAGTCTGCCTGAAACGCATAAGTGAAGATGGACATAAAGACGTTTTTTAGACCAAAAGTACCGCGACAGAACCCCAGCTTTGATGAGACTGGTGTTGACTCAGGTTTGTGAGTCTTATTTGAAAATATTTGTTGTGCTGCTGGTTTGCCTAAAGTTACTGTAGCTTATCAGGCAAAGTTGATGGAGAAACAAAAGGGAATATTTACTATCATCTCACACTAAACACTAACAGGAATATGCCCTGAAAAGTATTATTATGTAGCTTCAGATTAAAAATTATGTGGTACAAGACAAATATATATGATGTTGACTAGTACGTGTCACGTGTGTGTGCAAGCGTGTGTGCGTGCGCATGTGTGTGTTAAGCCCCGGATCTTCTTCAGTCCTTAATCCGCCCCTGATACTTATGAGTTTTGAGGGCCAATAATGTTCTTATCGTTTTGCAGCACTGGCCTGCAAGTTCCAGTTTTGGTCACTTTTGATTTATTTCAAAGAATAACTATTAACTCTTTCATGCATAATGGTCACTGCAATGGACAGCCACTCAAAAATCTTTTTTATTTTTCGCTATTAAGCACAGCTGTTGAAGACTATTACATTCTATTACATTCTCTGCATGGAGTTTGCATGTTGTCCCTGTGCATGCGTGGGCTCACTCCGGGTGCTCTGGCTTCCTCCTACAGTCCAAAAACATGACTGTTATGTTGATTGGTCTGTAAATTGTCCTTAGGTGTGAGTGTGTGTGTGCTTGGTTGTTTGTCCTTTGTGTCTCTCTGTTGCCCTACGACTGACTGGCAATCTGCCCAGGGTGTACCCCGCCTGCATGCTCGGAGACAGCTGGGGATAGCAGCCCCCCCCCCCCCCCGACCCTGCATGGAAAAGCAGGTAAAGAAAATGGATGGATAGAAGGAAAACGTCCACATGGAAGTTTCGGTTGCATCAATAAGCTCTTAGAGACTGTGAGTTCACAGATCAAGAAAAAAAATGCCTTTGTTGCGGATGGTGCATTCATGAATTATAACACAAAAATGAACACTTTTGACTTTCACACCGGTCAGTTCTGATCTATCTTTGGTGCATTTCTAAACTTCAGGGATCTGTTATACAAAATGTACTTGTATTAAAAAAACATAAAAAATATTGAAGGATAATTATGTAAAATAATGTAAATGTCTTATGTATACATATATTAGCTCAAACCAACTGACAAATAACTGAAACTTAAAATATGAAAATTGCGTGAACTGTGGCTTTGGAGGTGGCTGACCTCAGGAAAGAGTTGAGAAGGATAAGGGATAAATCTGTCTATGTAAACATTCACTGAAATACATGTAAACAGTACAAGTACATAACAGTAAATATACACCATCATGGGCCAGAGACATGACTGCAATAGTGGCAGGACCTCTCCAGAAAAGCACTACGCCCTCTGCTGTCCAGGCGGGGAACTGCTTTGCAACGCTCCCAAATCATAGGATAAGTCTGAAATGGAAACATCTTTGTAAATGTGTGTGTGTGTGTGTGTGCAACTCTTCACCTGAAGTTACAGGCTTCATTTTAGTTATGACTGAAATCACAATTATTCACCATGACAACTCTTCAAGTTAAGAGCATTTACATGCAGTGTTAGAAAATTGAATTGTTGCCTTAGCCTGACTTTTTCAATGCATGTAAACACCTTACAGCTGACGGTGAATCGAACTGGACTACTCCTAATATACCTAAGGTAACCCAGAAAATATGATTAGAAATCTGAATTTTCTGCATGTAACAACATTCCAGCTTGGCCTAATTATGATCGGCCAGGGCGCCCCTCTTTAACGGAAGGGCCAAGCCCACATAAGAGGTATTCAAACAATATCATTGCAACAATATAACATCAAAAAGCACAGTAGCTAGCAAATGTACTGTGCTGCAGCGTTGTTGTTCATTCCTTCGGCCAATGTGCACATTCTAGTTTTACTCCGTCTGCTTCACTCCACTCACTCTGTTTACTTAAGTGTGTTGCTATAGACTAACAGAATGTCATCATTACAGAGCATACATCGCCATCTAACGTTGCATAGTCGAACGCACAGTTTTCAAACAACATGTAATCTAGGATAAAGTCTCCCAGTCTGGTTAAGAGATTAGCTGGATTATCGCTGCAGCTCAATTTAGATGCACATGTAACTGCACTGAATGACCAGACTTCCCCCTTTATAGAGATTGCAGGCACCAATTTATACCCTTATTTATACCTGCTCAGCTATGATTGAAACTAATGATACTAATCATTCTAGAATCATTATAGCCCACTATAGAAAAAAGATTAGGCCTGTCTAAGATGAGAAATATACCAAATAAATGTTTTTGTAGCATGCTGACATTAGTTTTAGACACAACAACTAGTTAAACTGTAATAAATTAATAAATCACACAAACACAGAAAAGACAGACAGTACATGAACAGTTAAGAAGTTAGTGATGCACCGATATGACATTTTTTGGGCCAATATCGATATCTGATAATAATATCTTTTTTATGGCCGATAATCGATATTTGCCGATACCGATATACTTACATTAATGCTTCTAAAATCAGCAGATTTTGTACAGAATGACGATTATTAAAGCTGAATTTACATTATTATGCACACACACCACACACATTTACGCTTCTGAAATGATTACAATCACTGTCACGTGACTAACAATTACGCATCACCCCCCTCACCCTCTGAAACAGATAAATGGAAACAAGATGAAGAAAATATCAGTTGTTAAAATCGGCCTGATACCAATATGTTAAATAATGATTAATATCGGCTGATACCGATATATTGTGCATCCCTATAAGAGGTGTTAGCAGATGTACCACAGGACAAATCCAGAAGCAGAAACAAAGTTTGCATTAAAATGCCTTTTTTTCTCCCAAGAGCATCAGTGTTTGGAAAATTATCACTGGACGTATTACATGCATGTGGAGAAAGTAATAAAAAAAAAGAGTCTGTGCTTTTATTATTAAATATTAGGGCTGGGCGATGTGGCCTAAAATCAATATCACGATATATTGAGGATTTCACCTCGATAATGATAAATGGACAATAACTACAGATAAGCGCAGGAACAAAAGTTGTCCACAAGGTGGGGTTGTCACATCTATTACGTTGGGTCACATTTTTACTTGACTCAAGGTGGTACAGTTTCTTAAAAGGACATACGTTGCCAACCCACACACATCTTTTCATTTATGTATTATCAAATTTATTGACATGGGAAAATTATCACGATAAGATTCAGAAATGTCAATAGCGATACATTTTCGATTTATTGCCCAGCCCTGTTAAATATACTCTATGTTTTGCCCTCCTTCTGCCACTTTCACTTGACTTCACTGACTTTAAAACACCACCATAAGACCCATTGAAAAGTAATGAATGTGATTTTTTTCATATTAATAATCAATTTGATTATTAGCACACTTATAATTAAAATGTGATTAAAAGACTGAGATCATGTTTTTGCTTCATGGCACCAAAACTCAGATTTTATGGTCACACTTTTTAATTTTATATTTCACATCTTTTGTATTCAATCAGAATAGACAAAAACAAAACTGGGCCTTTTGTTGCATTTATTCTGACTGCCTCTTTTATCTCAGTTACTGCTCAGACCTAAACTACCATATATTAAAGGTTCTATATTTAGGCATCAAATTACCTGCAACACACACAAGCAGGTTTCAGTTTTTTCACTGACATTCTACCTAATGTGTACCAGGAAATAAACAAAACGGTGTCAATGAAAATATGAATAAACGTAACAATCAAAGCCTGTAGACGATTATTAAAGTTATCCTACATCTAATAGTATTTCATTACAACCCCGCAGCTTCAGCTCAGCTAAAACCTGAACCCTGCCCTAAAGACAGCTGGGGAATGAACCCATCTGCAGTGCATTGATTATCTCCTACTTTACCCAGACATTCATAATATATCTGATTACACTGACGCAGGAGGAGTCCAGAGGCCCCAGACGGAAGTTAAAAACCATTAATCAGCCTCTGAGACTCTTAAGTCCAGCTCTCAAGCGACCTTGCCTTTCAGGCCTCAGCAGAACCTGTTGGGCACCTGTAGCTGCGCGCGCGTGTGATAACTGATTAAGATAAAAGAGGAGTACGTCACTGAGCTCGACAGGTATATCTTACCCGGATGGGACATTGTTATGGTGTCGTTGGCACTGTTGAATATGACAACAGCAGAAGCGTTGTGCTTGGCCACGTTACGGATTTTCTCCCGGTACGTACAATTCCCTGCAGCCACCAGCGCCACCCAGGCGGAGCTCTGAGGGACGGGGGGGAACCTGACGTTCGGGTAGCACGCCTGTCTGTCCTGCACGAGGGCCGGGGCCAGAACCAGACCCCTGGCTTCTCTCTTGGGCGACTGCTCGCCGTACCGCCCGCACTCGGTTTTCTCCGTCCTGACCTCCTTGGTAGCGGGGTCCAGATAGGTGATGTTGATAAACGCCGTGTACCACTCCTCCTTCTCCGCCACCGTGAAATCCAAGCAGAGCAGGTGGACGAAGCAGAACGACAGCAGCCACGTCGAGAGCGCCAGACTGCGACAAGTTCGGATGAGGGACGGTGCCATGGTGCCGCTGCTGCCGGATGGAGGGCTCACGAGCTCCGGGTGTCAATAAGCTCGCACCGCGTCCCGCTGGCTGCTAAAGGGATACTCGCCAGAAAAGGACATAACACTCACGCAGCATCCAGGCTGCCATAGGGGACGGGTGTGAGGGGTGTCTGCGGTGGGAAGAGCCGAAGCGTGCATCGTAGGCAGGTGAAATGTGCACCGTGTTGTGTTTACTGTCAGCTGGATCCTGTCAGCGCTCAGGATTGGCTCGTTCAGCGTCAGCACGTGACCTGGGCGTTAACAGACGCTGCAATCACGTGGTAGGACAGGAACTAAACTGCTATATGAATTATATCAAGCATCAACAGCAACAAGGTAATTGTGCCATGTATGGCATGAATACTCAGAGCAATTTTTGTGTATTATATTTGAATCTTTCAATTAAAAAACATTGTAAAAACTGTATTTCGTTATACTTTGTTAAATAAAAACAAACCAGTTTAATTGTCTTGTCTTTGATTAGTTTACTGTCTGTGGAAGCCCATTTCTGCCAGTAGGTTAAAAAGCTATATTGTTTCTCATAGTTATGATAGCTGCCTCATGATTATGAGAAATGATTATGTCGTAATAATTAGATAGTATGGTCAAATCTAAACAAATCTTGTAGGCTATCTCATATGAGATACACGCTCATAGCTCCCCAAAACAAAGAAATATGTCTATGTTCAATTCGCCTTATTTTTTCCTGGAAGAAGTGTGTGAAGCTTGCTAAACTCAGCCATTTTTCTTCTTCTTTGTGTCTGGTTCAGTGAAGTCAAATTGTTGAGACAAGTATTTGTAGTCTGCTACTGCTTTTCTCACAAATCTAAAATAACTTTTGCTGCCTGTCCAAAATAAGTGTTTTCTTGGAGTCAAAATGTGTAAAATTCTAGGATATCATATTTTAAAACCATGGCACATAACAGGATCCAAAAATAACTTGCCATTCCATAGATTTCCGTTCTTTTATTTTATTATTATTTTTGGGCAGTGGGGACTGGAAGTAGGCTCCTCATTATGGCATCCACATATAAAAATAACATAACATATGGTTACATGTGTAAAATATGGCCCACTATTCTTTACTCAGTTAAATCTATTAAGTTTATTTACACAATATATAAAAAATTGTCAGACCAACTATAGAAAAAAACAAAAGTTTATTTCTGGTGGGAAATGGAAGCATTGAGGAATTACAGAAAAAAAATGACCGAGAGGAATAATAAATTCTTCAGGATGTTTTTACTTCCCAATGCACAACTTTCATGCAAAAATGTATTGTTTATAAAATAAAAGTAATCGGTATAAATGAAACTTGAGTCTGCTTTGGTATTGAACCTCAAAATCAGAATTGTGCACCAACAATTCGTAAAATAAATTAACACTGACGAGCAATGAATGGGCTTGTCCCATTTATTTTACATGCACATAGTCATTTCTCTTAAAGGTGACTCCTCCGTTAATCAAATCCTTCTTGTTTCTCCCCTTCACTTCCGGCTAAACCATGTGCCATAGACGAATCAGGTGCGGATTCTGTGTAAACAACTGCAAAGACTCCGCCAAATTCAAACTGCCCCCACGTATGCCGGCCTAGTCATGATGCGGATCATGATGAGGAGACGGGTTTCTACTGGCGGAACAAAAAGCTCAGGATTGTGTTTCAACGGACACATTTCCAGACGGACTTGGAAGCGTTCACCGTGTTGAAATCGGTTGAAACATTAGGGTATTTATTTTTACCCTATTACAATATTTTATAAAATGACGTTTGCGTGTAATATATAATAATGCTGTAGACATGTGAGGCTGTTGGAAAGATTCATGCTCAAACTGTTAAGTTTGTTTTTAAGTGAAAATCTAACTTAGCTTTTCGGCACGTCACGTCACTTAGTTCAGTTTCTGTATAAGCAAGAGCTAGCTAGCATGAAACGAGCATTTCCAGTTACTATTATATCGTGGTTGTTTTCATCATAAATCTCACTTTCTTGATTTCTTGGTAGTTGTGTAAAATGGTGGTCTGTATTAATCAGAGGTAAGTAATGGCTCTTTTTGTTTTTGCAAGTAGGTATAATAAAGCTTCTAAGCTAAAAAAAGCAGAAATGCCCAAAAAGAAAACCGGGGCCAGGAAAAAGGCCGAGAGCCGCAAAGAGCGTGAGAAACAGAGCCGAGCTAATCGGGAGCATGTTGATGTGGCCAAGCATCCCTGTAACTCCAACATGGTATGTAGAGACTGCTGCTGATGCATCTATTTGGTATAACAATCTGATGATTCCTCACACTTTGTTGTGTCTTTGCAGGAATGTGACAAATGCCAGAGGTCAGTGCGCATCACTATAGATAACATTACTACATAATACCTCTATAGGGTAAAGACATGACTATTTCCTGTGTGTGATGACTCCTGTCAGGAAACAGAAGAACAGAGCATTCTGCTACTTTTGTAACTCGGTGCAGAAGCTTCCTGTCTGTGCTCAGTGTGGTGAGTGCCTCATAGTAGCTTCTTCCACTAATTACACACAAAACAAAGTATGGATTCAGCAAGTTATCAGACTTTTTCGAAATGTCCACTGTTAGTTTTAAGGTCAATCTGGAAGTCGATTAATTTTTTTACCCATACATTACCTGAAAAGCAAAAACAAGAAGTTGTGCTAACAGAGAGATTTGGTCTCAGCCAGGTTTAATGTAGTTTTTTAAGGTTATTTTCAGGGTTTCTGAGGTTTTCTATAGAACCAGTGTTTCTTTTAATGTTATCTTCTTCCCCTTTACTTCAGGATGGCTTCCAAAGGTGGTGTTACCATCATTAGTACCGAATCTACTCCCATCACTTCTCTAAAAAGTGTCTAAAATCTACAACCTCAAAGTCTTGGTCTAAAAGCTGTCCAGATGTCTCTTTGACAAACTACCGGCAGCACCAGCTTTGGATGAAAATCAGCTTACAATACATGTAACTGCTTCATCATCAGGGTGTAATTGCTGTAGATATATCTTCCTGTGCTTTTTTTTTTTAAAAAAGATGTTTTAATATAGATCAAGTAAAATCAATATGATGCAGGTGGCCCAAAGTCAAGCTGCAAAAGTGTCTAAAGAAGCACCAAAGCAGAGATCTCTCAACCAAGAGGATCTGAATACCTATGTTATATTCAGAAATCATTTTAAACATGGTAGTTCTCAGAAACATTTGCATAGATTAAATGTGTTTGTTGCCTGATAAAATGAAATGGACATTAGACATTTTTTACTAATTAGTTTTATTATTATTTACCTTGTCTTGGAGGTACAATCTCTACTTATCAAGCTATTCCATGGCCATGTTTTTTTAAAATGTTTTTAGGGAAAACCAAGTGCATGAAGTCTTCAGATTGTGTTATCAAGCATCCAGGGATCCACACCACTGGAATGGCCATGGTGGTAAGTTTATAGTAACGTGATTCCACCCACAAACCAATATTGACCAATAGGCTATCTGCAGATCCATATTAAGTTGTAAAAAACCTTAAATGAGAGGATTTTACATAATTAAGGCCTTAAAATCATAAAAAATGACAAGTCGGAGTGCTCTAATCAGAACACATTTGTAAACCGGCCTCGTTCACATGAGTTTCATAGGATCATGATCAGGAGGAAAAGATCAGATTTTGCCTTTTAAAACAAACATGACTTTTTAAAATAATCTTGAGGTATAGATTTTATGTTATTAATAGAATAAAAATGGCTTAGTTTTAATTTCAACCAGTTATTCTAACTAACATATCACACAATGTATGGCAGGCAGAGATTCAGACACCAGTGTGCAGCTGCTAGCTAGGAGGTAAACTCAGAGCTAACATCCAGAAAAGTTTTTTTTTTTACCTTGCTGATAGCTTTGTTTGTCGACTGCAAGCTCTGAGGAAGTTTTGCAGTCGGCAAACGAAACTGTCAGCAAGGTAAAAAAAAAAAAACCTTTTCTGTGTTTTAAAAAGAACCAAAAATGCAGTTAGAAACCAGACACAGCAAGAACATACCACAGATGTTCAGAGTTAACATGTTTCCTCAGGTGAGTGAAATGTCTTCAGTGTGGTGGTATTTAAACCAGACAGCAAAGGGAGTGTAACAGACACTTACAATGTGTACAAACTGGTTATTAAACGTGGTGGAAAAGCTAGAGCTGCGTTCAACAATACAAATCTGATACGCTGCCTTCAAAACAAGCTACTTTTGCTTTCCCCTTTGCCAGAGTTTTTCCTGGCTCACTTTGAGGCAGAGGTGGTACCATCCTGACCATGCGCCAGCACATGCATACTCTGTGCATTCAACTGCCTCACTTTTTTAAAGGCCAAATATTTTTTTGTTACGTACTCTAATCTAAGCTTCTGTTGATTAATTGAATATTCCATTTGACAACGTTTCAAATGAAACAAAACTGGTTTGCTGCTAAAAAATATGAAATAAAACAACAACATTATCAGGCTGAAATAACAGACTCTTATTATAAAAGGTGCAATAATATGCATTAGATTGGTGTTTAGTTCCCTTTTTCCCATCTGATATTCATAGTTAAAATATTTTTAAAGGGGCATTATGGAAGTTTGACTGTCAAAACATGTATAGAAATAATAAATGTCTTCTTCATACATTCTCCTGTAATGCTCTGGTCCTGTAGAATGAGTCCTGGCATTTTTACTGAGATTGCCTATTTTTCTGTAAAATCACAGAAAAAGAGAGCTGCTCGGGTCGAGCAGGCTGCTTCATGCGCGTCCACGCTCAGGCATCGCTCGTAGCATTTGCTATCCGTAGCTTTAGCAGCAGAGAGAGAGGCATTGCCAACTCAGCGACTTTATCGCTGTTCCTAACGCCTAGTGATGAACCTAGCTACATTTCTGAGGACCCTTAGCTACTTTCTTCTAGATATTTCCTGCAAATTAGCAACAAAATAGCCATTTTCGCTCCGAACCGTTCTTTGAACGTTGTTTCAGCTGTCATCAAGGATATAAAAGTTACAGATACAAAATACGCCACTGGCGCTGTAGCTGCCCTTTGCCTTTAGATGTCACTAGAGTGAATCAGCGGTATCCATTAAGTACCAGTTTTCCACTGATCGTCACCGTTCACAGCGGCAACTCGGACAAAAACACGGAGCCAGCCAACAGAGAAAGATACGCCAACAGACAGCAAAACGTTGGGGTTTCTGAGTCTCCTCCAGCACCTGAGCTGGTTGCGGTAGTTAAGAGGAAAAGGTATCCTGCTGTCCGTGGTGCCGCGTGCCTACCCCATCATGGGAACGCGCATCGCTCAACACATCTGTATTTTCAGGGTTCGAACCACTTGAAATATGAACAATGCCAGTGCTTTAAAATATATTCATAATATTTACTCATTTTTTTATAAATGTACTTCCTAAACAGGTGACAGGGAAACTTAAAGGACAACTTGGATGTGTTTTCTTTTTTCTTCTTATTTTAATACTTTGCTGAAAGGGAACTTTGACTCCCATCATGAGCAGAAAAATGTGATCGGAGCATACATCATGGCAAGTACTCTTTAAATCCAAAGGTCTTAAAACACCAGACACAAAAAACCAAGATTGCTTGGTTTTATTAGGAAATCGCTTAAGAATTTAGCGATTTTAGAAATGGTGTTTTGGACTTTTGCATAAAGCGACTAGCATAAGAGGAACCACCAACGTTCATATGGCTTTGTGAGGGAGGGGGCTATTTCCAGGTATGAACATGAGCCACTTTAGCTAGTTGGCGCATGCGCCATGGGGAAGTGCAAGTTTAGTGGCCCTGCCTTTTCATCCTCTGCAGAGCAATTATCTTGATGTTCGTGTTAATTTTCTGCTATTTTATTTCCAATAGAAGTTTGGACATAAATATTTGTAAGGATGTCACATCCCTAATTCATTCTGAGAATGTAAGGTCTTAAATTGTATCAAAGTCACCTAAAAAGTCCTAAATGTACCTTCCTTAAATCTGCAGATTCCCTGATGACATTGTCTTCTTTAATGATCCAGTTCTGGTTTATACCTCCTAAGCTGGCACACTTATGTTGTTTGCTGTATTTAAACAAAAAGAGTTGGCTGTGGCTGCGTACATTATCAAAGAAAGTCATTTTTAAACATCTAAACCTAGTTTTTATAACAAAACTGTATTTTAGACTTGGCAGACTGCTAATACTTCTATAGATTTGGCTTCTTGTGTTTGCATAGCATATTTTATTTATATAGCACATTTAAAACGCAGCATGGGAGCTGCCCAAAGTGCTGCACAGGCTAAAACAAAACACAACCATTCGAAAGAACTAAAACAGGATAAAAAGCCCAATCAAAAGCAGATAAAACACGATGAATACGAAGAACACATTAAAACAACGATACAATAAAACACTAAAACGAGTCACGTCTAAAAGCCAAAGCGTAAAAGTGGGTCTTTAAACGAGATTTAAAAACCGCCAGAGATGGAGCCTGCCGAACTCCAATGGGCAATGAGTTCCATAGCTTCCATAGCAATCATTATTATTGTGTATGGCTGTCCAGTAAGAGCTAATAATATTTAAAACCTCCAGAACAGCTGTATATGTCTTTTTTGGCAACTAATTTTCATCCTGACACATTATTATTTAGATAAATGATTTAGAGAAAATATTAGAAATGTAACTGATGCTCATCAATCACTGCATCAAGAACGTTGAACCAGATGAATAACACCTGTAATGATCCTTTCCCCCCACAAGGGTGCAGTGTGTGACTTCTGTGAAGCCTGGGTTTGCCATGGTAGGAAATGCCTGAGCACCCACGCCTGCATGTGTCCCCTGACTGACGCAGACTGCATCGAGTGTGAGCGGGGAGTCTGGGACCATGGTGAGACACGCCCTTCCTCCAACACTAAAATAAATCTGGTTGTTCCCACTCTAACCTAAAAGTCACCACTGACCGTTTCAACTTCCTGACTAGGTGGTCGGATTTTCCGGTGCTCCTTCTGTCAAAACTTCCTATGTGAGGATGATCAGTTTGAGCACCAGGCCAGTTGCCAAGTCCTTCAGGCAGAAACATTCAAATGTGAGTCAATCAGTTTTACTCCCTTATATGTATTATTGTCATTAGAAGGAAAGTTATCTCTTTTTTTTTTACAGTGACTAAATCCCCAGGGGGTATTTGTACAGTGAAAATGCAAATCTTATGTATTTTAGGTGTTTCCTGTAATCGGCTGGGACAACATTCCTGTCTGCGCTGCAAGGTGAGCGTGCATCTCTAACTTATTTAATCAAAAACTTCATCTAGGCGATTATTGAGTCAGAGTTTACGTAATAATTACTGGCAATAAGATGTTTAATGGGAAAACCGCACCCTTAATTAATTTTAACAACGGGCTGCATTCTTTCCACCGATGATTTAGCGTTGATCTTAATCTTTGCATCCTGTTAATATGTTTTCAGTTAGCTCCATGTTGGCAGTCGTTGCTGGCACTCAGGAATTTAAATGAAGCTTAAGATCAGAGCCATTCTTGAACCAGCAGCACAGGAAGAACTCCATTCAGATAAAACAAAACCTGCAGCTTTTGTTCCTCCTTTAAGATAAACCTAAGAGGATTAACGGGTAAAGTAGAAACAAACTTACAAATGTTAACTCTAGGCCAAGTTCATATAATTAGATTTTTAAAAACACACACACACACACACAAGGCTAAAAAGAATAAGACTTTCCTTTTTTTGTAATTTCTCGTGTATTTTTACGTTGGCTAATAACATCTACATAATAAATGCTCTAAATCAACTTTATTTAGGTGTCTGACTTTAACACTGAGCAGTGCACAAGGTAAAATGTAACAGTTAGTTAAATTCAGAGTTAAAAACTGGTCCAACTTCAGGAATTGTGTGCATCAGCTGATGTTATTCAGGGTTTCCCTTACATAGGCGTAGCCGTGGCGGCCCGCCACGGCTGAAATCCCACCACCACGCCTACAAGATCCCAAGTTTTTTTTTGCGCCGTTTCCCGAAGAAGCAGCGGGAACTACTATGTTGTTGCTAGTGATCACAGCCGGCGGGCAGCAAGGAGCAGGCAGGGCAAGGTGAAGTTAGAGCATAAGTTACTGAGTTTAAAATTAGAAAGGTAGCAGTGGATATAATGCTTTTGGGTTTACATGTTTCAATAGCATTAAGATAAACGAGTGTTGACGATCTTGACAGGGTTTCCTCCAGTGCTTATTAGGCCAGGTTCTCCTCCCCCCACCAGGCTAAACATCACTTATTCATGTAAAAAAAATTTTTTTCATGTCTGACTTTAACCGCATCTAATACTGTATTACGATGTGAGCACAACAGCGACAACTTAAGATCGATGTGTGAGCAGCGTGAGAGGTCAGGTGTTTCATCTGAACCCTTAAAACCTCCAGCAGGCTACGCTGCACTATTGACGTTTTAGCGCGCGGCGCTAACAACTTAGCGACGTGACATGTCTCGGAGAAAGCGTAAAAACACGTTGGACGCTTCTTCTGAAGCGGGAAAATAACACCTCTTCTTAAGCAGAGCACGACGTCTCCTCGGCTCGTTCACGGCCGAGCCGGACTGAGCTCGATAACATTGACCCAGCACAGCCACTGGGTTGTTGGAGCTGCCCCGTGACTGCCTGATGGAAATCCAGCGGGTTTCATCAGACTCGTATTTCTTGTTTTTGCTGGGGACCCCCTGTATTTTATCGTTCCCTCCTGCAGTCTTCCCCTATTAAAATTTAAAATGATTCTGTAAACTCTGTGTATCAATAGAAACAATCTCTGCCTCTGCCAGCTGCAGTAAATGTAGTCTCCAAATAATCAATAAGAGGTGCATTCATCTGTGTATCTCCTTTGATCCGCATTAGTGATATTTTCAGCACCAGAACAGTGAAGCAAAGAAAGATTCCTGAGTTTGTTATAATTTTATTTATTAGATGCATCTGACCTGTTCTATTTTTCTCTGAAATGAGATCAAATCAGTGCTTCTATGGGTTGTCTCCAATCTGCACTGGAAAATTTTACTTTATTTAGAGACTTGTCCTAATTTCTCCCCAAGCCCCCCCCCCCCCCCCCCCCCCCCCCCCGCGTGCTGGAAAAATGCCTAGGGGTAACACTGTTATTAGTGACATTTTAGCATGAAAATAAGATGGAAAACGTTTAGATATCGGCCCGTAATCAGCTGACCGTGTCTCCTACATATTTGCATCAAAATACCAATATCGATCAACCTCTAGCTTCTAGTAGGAATGGGTGTCTTGTAAGTTGCACTCAGGGGGGAAAAAAGGTCCGGTGTGCCTTTTTCAGGAACTATAAGTGAGCCAGATCAGAGCTGATCTTCAGACGACAGGATGTGGAGTCTTATTTCCTGATATTGGGACATCTCTCCACTGATTGGATAACAGCAACATGACTCTACCACAGACTCTGTTCGCTTTGCAATGTTGATGTTTTATCTCTACAAATAACACAAGCCTGGAGGAGTTCAGCTGTGTTGTGGAGTTGCTAACACTAATAGTTAGCTTCTATTCGCCAAGACGTTCTCTGCTGTTTCCTGGACGCGAAACCAACAACAGCCTTCTGTATTATGAGTCAGGATGGGTGAGTCCATGACTGTTATGTGACAGTGTGACGTAGATCTGTCAGCTTTTTAAATCCTAGCGTTTTACCATCTATTTTCAATCAGAAGCTCATTCAGGAGATAGGTGTAGGAGACTATTTTCATGTTCAGCCTGCATGAAACACTCTAGAGTGACTGATTATAATCAGAAATAATCATTAAGAAATGTTTTTTAAGTGTTCCACACCTTTAAGGTGGTACTTCACTTCACTCAGAATAGCAGTTAGCTCATTAGTCCAATCAGAACTGATCCTTGTTTCTCCAAACTGAGGCTGCTGAAAGAACTAGTTAAAAAAGCGAAGGTATTAATTTATAACTTTTACATAAAAACCCCAAAAGCTCTGCTCTGCATTCAACAAAACATCAAACTCTGTTAATAACGAGTCAGCTAACAGTTGTAAACATGCCTTTATACATCCACGTAACCTGTAATCTGTCCCTTTCACTAGCTGGCAGGAGTCTCTTCTGAACTCTGAGTGATAAGGAAACTCTCCCCCCACACCTCATTCTGTAGAAGGTTTAACCACACGGTGTCAGAGGGAGGCACATTACGCGTACATGTTCACACTGACAGATTGACACGGTTTACATAAGTGCTGCTACTGTTGCACAATATCAGAGACACAAGCTAAGCTTTTCAACCTAAACGGTATTTGTCTGGTTGTTATGGCACCCAACCTAAACAAGCACTGGATGCCCCACTGATCTACCTGCATTTGACAAGACTGAGTCATTTCAGTTTACTGTATGGTACCGATTCTGGACTTTTGTTTAACGATAACTTGAGAGAATTGAGTAAGTCGTCAAATAAGCCGTGTTGTGCAGCCTGACTGGGGAAAACACTCGGTCGATCTCCAGCTCGATGTTGAACGTGACAGCAGAAGAGACTGTGCCGACAGACTTCCAAGGTGCTGTTCCTCGTTGCCGGGTTACGCAACAACACTGATAACCCTGAAACGGGAAACGGATCACCATCCAGCCTTTACGACTCAACATTTGTTTGACTACATTCTCATTTAAACAAAAATTAAATAAATGTGTCTGCAGGCTTGCTACTGCGATGACCACGCCAAGAGTAAGGTCTTCAAACAGGAGAAGGGCAAAGCTCCGCCATGTCCCAAGTGTGGCCACGAGACGCAGGAGACCAAAGACCTCAGCATGTCCAGTGAGTTCCACGGAGCTTTTGAAAACTTCCTGTAAAGAAGCTGTTTCCTGCAAGCCAACCTCAACTTCCCTGTTGGAACGTTTTCCGAAAACGAAATACGTTTCATTGTAACCACAATGACCTTTGTTTATTTAGAATGTAATCTGATTACTCTTGAGTGCAAGTGTAGCCAAAGTGCAGTTATTGTTATCAATCTCTGGCTGTCCAAAACAACACTGCTACAAAAGCAGTGAAGCGTCACAGACATGACTAATGTTGCACCTGTGTGTTCCCTGCAGCACGCACCCTGAAGTTTGGACGCCAGGCCGGTGGCGATGATGACTACGACGATGACTACGACAGCTATGACGCCTACTGGAAGAATGCGGCAGCTGAAGGAGGAGGCAATCAGAACTATGATGAAGACGAGTATGACGAAGAGGATGAGGATGAAGAGGAAGATGATGAGGACGAGGAGGATGAGGAAGAGGAGGAGGACGACGACGAAACGCCTTCCGCGTCCCTGGGTGAGCTGAAGTTGGACGGGACTTCTACCTGAACTGAGTCCGTGTGGATGGAAGCCCAGGTCCCGTAGATCCCTCTGCTCCTCGGGGGAATTTCACTCATGAAGCGGCGTTTTCTGGAACATCTACAGTCTATGTTCTGTTACCCGTTGATGTCCAGTAGGTTTGAGGAGCATTTTTATACCTTCTCCTTCCAGAGTTAAAAAAATAAAGCAGAAATTTTAACTCAACGATTAAACAAAGTTGTGAATCTAATGAGTTTTGTGTTTTTTTACATTCAGTAACTGAACACTTCAAGTCTCAGTCTGGAAGACCTGTGTATGTGTGTGTGTGTGTGTGTACCGTCTATGCCTAGTATGTACAGTCTATGGTGTGTACGCGCGCCCGCCCCCATTCTTCTACAGTCAGTCAAAGTTTTATAGCTAAGGAGCCAGATGAACTCAGGCTACGGGCCATCAGTCCTCCCCTTTGACACAGATTTACAAGGTGGTGCATTACAACCTGTGAAGGAACACCTGTTAGGCACATAGCTAAATGTTACATCACCAGGGTTTATTACCCAGATGTGTCCAGAGAGCAGGGGCAGCTTCTGGGCAACGGATAACTCATTAGTGTATTTGTCTGGCGATGCTGGTCCATGAATGAGTACCAGTCGTGTTTATGAAACTTCTCCTCACATGATCGTTGAATCATTGACTAAGTGCTCTGTAATGAAGTGTTAATTACATTTAATTAAGGACCATAAGACATTAAAAATTCATATAGAGTATGAATTCCATCTTATGGACACTGGGTTATTTAAATCAGAAGATTGGATCTTTTTATTGCAGGGAATTTAGATAACACTTTGTAATAACTGAGAGACAAGAGAAGAGAGAGAGACCTTCAAACATTTAAGGAAATTTGTTACTAAATAAGTTTAAACAATTTAACAAGACTAACTCTCTAATGATTGATGTTCTTTTTGAATGAGGCGTGAGGTGGTTGGTGTGTGTGTGAATGAGTGTCATTCAGAACCCTCGTATCCGGAGAAACAAAGTCTGAGTGGGAGATGATGTTTTGCTCCTAACTGATCAGAGTTTGAGACTCGTGGTCATAAACACATGAGACGCCATATTGTCGCATCCACATACCCTCAGTGAGACCTCCGTACAGATCCGGATGCCAGGTCCAAGACCCTCCTCTGGTACTGAAGCCGATGAAACAGTGTCGACAGTACGACAAACCGGTCTTTGGATAGTCTCCAGGTAAAAGCGACAGGTGGCTCACAGCGTCAAAAGGGGACCCTCCTTGGGTCAGCGAGTTCAGCTTTTATTCTGAAAGGCACCGTTGCTTGGTTGGTAACAAAACAACAGAATTTTCCCAGCTTGATGGTTCTCAGCTTAAAAAGAGAAGTACAGATGGCCGGTCCGATACTTCACTTAGCATGCGATGAACTCCATGGGATCTTGAGAACAAGATCTTGAGAACTGAACTTAAGATGGCAATGGAACTGTTTTATTAATCTGGATGTTTTTGATTCTGGACGAATCAAAGGTGACAGATTCATAAACACCAAAGAGACTCTGCCACGCTTCAGACTAGGAAGGTTCTGATTGGATCAGTACAGCAATGTGTCATGTGATTGTTTTCCTTACGTGGGTCAGTGTGTCTAGTGACTAGATTAAATCATATTACTTATTAAAACATATTAATCATAATATTGTGATTTCACAGATCGGTCACATTGTATTATTGACTAACAGTTGTTTTGATTAGCTTTATTGAAAATAGAGTTCTTTGATTTAATAAAAGAAAAGAGTCTTCATCTTCTGTCTTCATTGCTGGAAAGTAAACAGTTTAGATGCGAATGCATGACCTTGAAGCTGTTTCATGCACTCTGGCGCTGTGTCAAAGGTTACTGTGGAAAAGGTTAAATAACCTTGGAGGAATAGCTCCTTCATCACGTTACAGCTCCAAAAATCTCCACGTGACGCCACTAATCTCTATCCTTAACGGCGTTATGCAAATTAACTATTACCTATGTACTTGATTAACCCAACTGCGAGTTATGCAGCTCTTCAGAGGTTTATTCATTGCCAGGCACATGGGTGCTGTAATAACCGCTGATAACACATCACTTCCCATCAGAAGCAGCGGTGGAACCATGATCCCTGATGTAATTTGACAGCACCACTGTTCCCAACTAGTTATGGGAGTTAGCTACTGTAATGACAACTTTAGAGTGGCAATACTGTAGGGAGTACTTCCTGTGGTACTAAACCAGAAACAAGGATTACTGACAGTCATGCTGATTTAGCTGCTTCATACTTGGTGACAGCTGCTCAGGAGTTCTGAGGCACTCTTTATTATAAGAGCATAATATTAAGTTCATAATAACAGAGATAATGGAAATGTAACCAAAAAATCTGGGGCTGTGGGTTATGTATGTGCAACGAGCCAAAGGAGGAGTGATCTTCATACTGAAACGTGAGGAGAGCAGGGTGTGTGTGTGTGTGTGTGTGTGTGTGTGTGTGTGTGTGTGTGTGTGTTTGGCTAAATCAGACCTGCTCTTATTCTGCTTGAGTGCTGGATTGGATTGGGATCAATGAGACGCTCTGGCTTTATGGTCTGGGGAGAAATGCAGTCATGTGAAGTTGGCCTGTTGCCGAGCTGGGTGGAAGAGAACCTGCTGCTGCTGCGCAGAAGATAGACTTCATGACGGCGCTCCAGGTGATCCTTCTCACACTCCCACGACACCAGCGAGCGGTAAGCGGCTAAAGATGGTCTTCTTAACCCGCCGTTTGTTGACAGCCCGGGTTCGGGGCTTTACGGGAGGAGAAAGCGGCGTTTGAACACACTTGCGAAAGTGGGGGAATAAAACGAGCGGAGGTGTGTCACCTGGATGGTGCACGCGCCGACTTTTCAGCTACCTGTCGATAACCTCGAGTCATTATGGTTATTCAGGTAAAAACATCAAAATTCCCACTTTCACTTCCCTAGTTTCACTTTCAGCTCTGACTGGTTAAGCCCCGCCCCCTTGTTTGTTTTAATGGAGGCATTAAGTAATTATTACTGATTATGAGCACATGTGCAGGTGTTATATGGAAGAAAACTCATTTTATGTAGTTTTTTACAGTTTCGGTCAAATGGATGCCTTTAATTAGAATAGAATAGAACAGAATAGAGAAGTATTAATTGTCACAATGACAGGGGCGGTTCTAGGCCAAATTTTCCAGGGGGGCCACAGTGGGGCCAGTATTTTTTCATGGGGGCGCAAGAAAAAAAAGGAAAAATTAGGGCAATATCAAAATTATTTTTTGTCGTCGCCATATGACTAATTTTGTGCTTGTGCACAATTTTGCCAAAGGAAATTCATTGATGTCGGGAAAATAAACTGTATTGCTTGCCTTCGTCTCTTAGCGTATTTTCCGTTAGTCATCCTCAAGAATTTCTTTGGGTCCCATTTAAACTATTTTTAATCTTTTATTAAAAAATCCACCGGGTAAACAGTTCTGTCCACAGAGTGTGCTGCGCTCTAAAGGCTCCATTTGAAACGCTGCAGCGCATTAGTTCCCGTCTCCGAGGCAGCGCGGGGAAAAAATCCGATCTCTTCAACACAGGGGCCATAACAGGGGCCAGGGCCGGTTCTATAGGGGCCCGGGCCCCTGTGGGCCCCCGTTTAAAACCGCCAATGCACAATGACATTCCAGATGCATCTCCTGTTGCATCAGTATCAATATGATCATCGATTTAAATCAGAATACTGAGGTAATATATGCAATGATTTGTCTGATATTTTTATAATAAAATATTGCACAGGTAAACTGTAGATTGCACTTTTATAGAAGGATCCCCTCAAAGCACTGCACAGAAAGCAACAAGTTCCAGTTGTTACCATACCAGGTTTATTTATAATGCACATTTGAAAACAGCATGACAGCTGACCAAAGTGCTGTACAGTAGTAAAAAATAAGGAAACCCCGAAATAACAAACAAAATAAAAACCAGATAAAGGGTAAAAGGATAATAAATTAAAAGAATTAAAAGATTTAAAAAAACCTACAGTAAAAACAAGGTCACGACTAAACATATAAAAGCATACTAAGAAGTTGGCACATGTCAGCAGGGAAGACATCACAGGCTAAAACAATAGCCTGATCACTGATCAAAAGCTAAATGATAAAAATAGACCTTCAGCACCGACTGGAACCGCCACAGTTGTGGGGCCTGTCGAACACTGAGGGGGACAGCCTTCCAAAGTTTGGGAGCAGTTCTGACTGAGTTAATTATTTTCAGTTGAATTAAAGTTAGACGAACTTGCTTATTTGGTTTCATTATATATATATATATATATATATATATATATATATATATATATATATATATATATATATATATATATATATATATATATATATTCATGTATTTGAACACATATACAGAAAGCAATGATAGACTAGATCACACAAAATATTAAGTAACAGAAAAATAAAAAAGATGACAACACTAATCATCATCATCATCATCATCATCATCATCATCATCATCAGTTACATCCAATAACTAATCATGTGTATGAATTAGTTTTTTTTTTACTTCTTCTTGTCCTAACTAGGGCTGGGCAATAAATCAAAAAAGAATCTTTATCAAAATATCTGACTCTTATCGAGATCATTTTTCCCGTGTCAATAAATTAGATAATAACAAAATGAAAAGATGTGTGTAGGTTGGCAATGTTCATGTCCCTTTAAGAAGCTGTACCACCTTGAGTCACTTAAAAATGTGGGTGTTTCTCAGTGCCAAGGCGCCTGGCCTTGCGAGGCGATGTGTTGCGAGGCCAGGCGGCTTGCTTACGAGGACATTGTCCTTCCTTGGTAAAAGAAAACAGTTAAATGGAACAGATTTGCATCACGTGACTGCGGCTTCCACAACAGTCACGTAACATCATGAGACACGGGAGATAACTTTATATTTTACACGTGTTGGTGTCAATATAAATATATAACGAGACTTTTGCTTTCTAAATTGTGCATATATTTGTTAAATTATATAAGTGAGTTGCTATCCGCTACCCACCAAAGCTGCAACAACTAAGCAACTAACCAACCATAGATAACTTCTTTGGATCTAAAAAAAAACATTTTAAATTAGGGTTAGGGTTAGGACTGCCTCCTTACCGTGGTGGAGGGGTTTGAGTGTCTCAATGATCCTAGGAGCTAAGTTGTCTGAGACTTTCTGCCTCTGGTAGGGTCACCCATGGCAAACAGGTCCTAGGTGAGGGATCAGACAAAGAAACTGTGTTCCCTCGCCCGGACATGAGTCACCGGGGCCCCCCTCTGGAGCCAGGCCTGGAGGTGGGGCACGTTGGCAAGTGCCTGGTGGCCGGGCTTTCACCCATGGAGCACGGCCGGGCAAAGCCCGAGGAGGAAACGTTGGTCCCCCTAATCAATGGGCTCACCACTCGTGGGAGGGGCCAAAGGGGTCGGGTGCAGTGTGTGACGGGTGGTAGTCGAGGGCGGGGACCTTGGCGGTCTGATCCTCGGCTACAGAAGCTGGCTCTTGGCACATGGAATGTCACCTCTCTGGTGGGGAAGGAGCCTGAGTTGGTGTGTGAGGTTGAGAGGTTCCGACTAGATATAGTCGGACTCACCTCAACGCATGGCTCTGGCTCTGGAACCAGTTTCCTTGAGAGGGGTTGGACTTTCTACCACTCTGGAGTTGCTCCCACTGAGAGGTGCCGAGCAGGGGTGGGCATACTAGTTGCCCCCCATCTTGGTGCCTGTATGTTGGGGTTTACCCCAGTGAATGAGAGGGTAGCCTCCCTCCATCTACGTGTGGGGGGATGGGTTCTGACTGTGGTCTGTGCTTATGCACCAAACTACAGTTCAGACTACCCACCCTTTTTGGAGACCTTAGAGGGGGTGCTGGAAAGCACTCCTTCCGGTGACTCCCTCTTTCTGCTGGGGAACTTTAACGCTCACGTGGACAACGACAGTGAGACCTGGAGAGGTGTGGTTGGGAGGAACGGCCCCCTGATCTGAATTCGAGTGGTGTTTTGTTATTGGACTTCTGTGCCAGTCATGGATTGTCCATAATATACACCATGTTCAGACATAAAGGTGTCCATATGTGCTCTTGACACCAGGATACCTTAGGCCGCAGCTCGATGATCGACTTTGTTGTTGTTTCATCTGACCTGCGGCTGCTTGTCTTGGACACTCGGGTGAAGAGAGGGGCGGAGCTGTCAACTGACCACTACCTGGTGGTGAGTTGGCTCAGATGGTGGGGGAGGATGCCGGTCAGACCAGGCAGGCCCAAATGTATCGCGAGGGTCTGCTGGCAACGTCTGGCAGAGTCTCTTGTCAGAAGGAGCTTCAATTCCCACCTCTGACAGAACTTCCAAAATGTTCCGGGGGAGGCGGGGGACCTTGAGTCTGAATAGACCCTGTACCGTGCCTCCATTGTTGAGGCGGTTGACTGGAGCTGTGGTCGCAGAATCGTCGATGCCTGTCGTGGTGGCAACCCCCGAACCCGCTGGTGGACACCGGCAGTTAGGGATGCTGTCAAGCTGAAGAAAGAGTCTTATCAGGTCTTTTTGGCCTGTGGGACTCCAGAGGCAGCTGACGGGTACCGGCAGTCCAAGCGAAAGCGTCTCGGGTGGTCGCCAAGGCAAAAGCCCGGGCATGGGAGGAGTTCAGTGAGACCATGGAGCAAGTGGGGACGGTGTGCTGTTGACCTCTACTCAGGACGTTGTGGATCGGTGGGCAGAATACTTCGAAGACCTCCTCAATCCTACCGACATGTCTTCCAGTGAGGAAGCAGAGTCTGGGGACTTCCATTCATCTTGAACATAGCATACTTTTTATTGCGATTGAAGCCACGCTCATTAAGTTGTTTTAATAAGCTACTCCTTAAGGTGGCTGTTCTCCACAGTTCTTGTGCGGTTTCTGGTGAGCTGATCTCCAGCTCTAACGGAGAGGAGCTCCAGGAGCGAAACTTACGACCCATGCTTACTTTTATTTTCAATATAGTTGCCGACTGCAGCTCGGCATTAACTGTTCACGTCAACATGACATCTCTCTCTGTTGCGCCAAGGAGCTATCGCCATTTATTAGACAGGCAGTTCCTGCACCAAGCGAAGCAGAGCGAATACTGCGAAATTTGTGCCTTGCTATGCCGGCATGACGCGTTCATAAGACACACCATACACTGATTTGCCAGCACAGTGTTTCTTGTAAAAAGTGCTAGACAGAAAGAGATGGCTTCAGTCAGAAGCATTGTTACCTTCACAGTATCTTCCATGATATTGAATTGCATGGGCGGGAAGCCCCGACTGGCTGATTGTACCTTCCAATCGGAGTTCCCACCTAATGGTAGATGTCAATATGAGCCGGCAAATCAGTCGGCAGTGGGTGTGTTGGACCAGTTCAGCCCAAAGCAGACTGCCTTTTGAAGAGGGCTGAAAAAAATGACCGGTTGTAAGCAGGAAAATCAGAATCAGATTAGGTTTATTGCCATTGTCAGTGAACAACAATTCACAAACTAGGAACTTGCTTCGGTACTAACGTGCTATATATAACATGAATAATATAATTAAAAATAGAATAAAGTAGAATAAAATATAATAAACTAGCATAAAACTTTGCTATAAAAAGGCAGGTAATGGAAATATGGCCGATAACGTGACGTTATGTCAAGTACAGAAGACGAGCATGGTTGTGTTTTTATAAGCTGTTCACAAAATTCCAGGCTACCCAGATGTGAACACTCTTTAAGGGATGTGGGAAAATATTGATATGGCAATATATCATGATACATTGTATCGTCTCCCCTGTATCGTGATACGTGTAGCTGCCCCTGGCACCATGAAGAAAATGAACGGAGAGCCTCGACTGGTGCTTAAACTTTTATTTGTTTCTCTGGTCCAAATGCCTTGGACTTCACTCCGAGTTGCACCGTGAAAACTGTGTAGAGATGTACAAAGCATAAATAAAAGGTGAACACAACTTCAATGTCATAACAGAAATAGATTATATTCTCACATTTACCTTGCTCCGCTGGCCAAGGGTGCTAAACAAAACAATAATTCCTCAAAGCTGCTTTATCTGTAGATTTGACTAGGTGATGGACAGGAAAAACAAACAATGACTATAGTGTCAAACTAATAACCCAAACAAAAGTGTCAATACAGCAAAACTTACGTGGGGATGCAGTCGGCAATGTGCAGCTGAGGTGACTTTAGGCTTAAGACCTAATTTCAATACTTCAATACTTCAAACGGTTAACTTCTCCACAAACAGATTAACCCAAACAATTTCCTCTTGAAGGGTGTGGCTTATATACATTCTGTGAGCCAATTAAGGGTCATTGCCATCAGCTGCTCAGCTGGCAGCTACAATACGTATTGTATTACCAAAATTTCACCAATACACATCCCTACTCTTTACCCAGTCCAGGCGGAGTAGAGCCAATGCTAGTGTAGAAGCCCTAAATGCACCTCCCTCAGCTAAACGTCTGTCTGAGATACTTTCACAAATAATTATAAATGTTTTAATAGCAAATATACAATTTATTAAAATAAATATTAATGTAAGATCAATGGAGACTCATTTACCCAAACTGCAGCCAACCTCACTTATCACTTATCCTGCTTCTGTTGGTCAATGCGAGTAAAGCTGTAGGATCTTTATGGGTTAAAGAAGAATACAATGATACCACATGGTTTATTTCATTTCCCTCACATTTAACAATAAGCACACTAAATGCTTACTTTTTTATTTATTCGTTTTTGTGAAGCGCCTCATGCTTTTTATCTTGTGAGGCGCTATATAAAAGATAGTTTTCTTTTCTTTTCAATATTCTGAAGTTTTAAAGTTGGTAAAACTATACAACAATATGTGAATAAACAAATACAGTTAAAGCTTTAGGTGGTTAAGGCAAACGGTGAGTTAGTGTTTGTTAGAGCTTTCATATCACACCTGCACTTCAAGTTCTTCATAACAATGTTTGACACTGGTGTTTTTATTTTACCTCATAACTTGTTTCAGCAGCCAGCCCCAGCTCAGCAAAAGGACTATTTCTCTGTATATTTGTCCTTTTCATAGGAAAGTTGGAAAAGCTTCCTAGCTGGCAACCAAAACTTATGTAAACTGCTGTTTCTGTACAGGTCAGTGACAGCGCTTTTATACTATTAAAGAGTCATCAAGTTAGACCTGAAAAGTGCAAAAACAAGAAACAACACAGTTTCTGTTGATTCCACAGGTAGCAGATGAAAGAATTATTAGTGAACTTGTTGCACAAAGATGTGAGAAGACTCTTCAGAAAGCTCGGCTCATGGAGCCAAATCCGCAGCTGAATTCAGTTTCATCACACTCTGCCGTTCTCATTAGAATAACTTTTATTAAGGCATTGCTTTAAAAATAGTCTATTTGAAGCCATATTTAAACCCTTATTTTCATTTTATGTTCTTTTTCAGCAGAAAAATAAATAGGTAAATAAAAATTAATGCCTTTTATGAGTGTTTTCACAGTGAGGTCTGCTGTTTTTCATGAATGGTGATAAACTATGCCTTGGCACTGATTAGACAATATCTCTGCATGGGCTTGAGAGTCAAAGGTTCTTGTAAATAGGGAACAAAGGTTCACACGATGAGTTTAATAGCAGACTTTCTACATTTTCTTGTATTATTTGCATTTATTGTTACCATGTTGTCTTTGGATTTTGAGCTGCTTCTTTTCTTCTTGACTTCAACAAAATCTTGTAGTTTTATCTTTCCATTGTCTTACATGTGGAGATTGTTTTCCTCTTCTTACCTTATCAGGAATGTGGCTGGCTCCCCGTGAAATTCCTAAAAGTATTTAAGGTTCTCTTATGTACCTTCAAGGCCATTGTCAGCCTTGCACCTCCTTACCTTTCTGATCTTTTAGGCACTACCTCTTCTACAGTGTACATTTTAAGACATCCTCAGTGCTCGCATATCAGACCGAAGACAAACAAGTTTTGATTCAAAAGCTAATCGGACTTCTGGCTAAATGGCATCGGAATAAAAGGTTTCAGGAGAAACTCTGGCTTCCGTAAAAACTCCATGAGTGGAAACGGCTTCTGGAAAATTGCTGTCAGATAGAACTGACTGAGAGAGAGAATCATCCTGCAGGTGGCGCTGTTGTCAGTAGTTATTATTATTTTTTGTTTATTTAAATTGTTGAATTTGTTACAAAAAGATCCCAATAGTCTGTGGAAAAGTACTGTACACCCAAAAACAGAGGAAAAGAGAAGCACTGTCAGCAAGGCGCTCTGAAAAATACCCATAAAATAATGCGTAGCTTACCTGTGTCTGGTTTTGGTTAACTCCATATTTCCTCACCAGAGCCGAGCGGTCCATGGTCTGTCATATTATTAAAAACAAAAAATATATAATTGTATAAGTTAACAAAATTAACCCGTTAGCTAAAGTACTAGACCAGGGGTATTCAGTTCCGGACCTGGAGGACCGGTATCCAGCACGTTTTAGCTTTAACTGATTTAAATCAGCAGGTGATTATCAGGCTTCTGCAGACCGGAAGAGGAGTGTGCTGCCATTTGGCAGCACCTGAGTCTTTCAAATCGCTAAAGAAAAACGTTTGCGGTGCATGTTGGCACAATAACATGATGATTGCTATGCTAACATTTCCTTGTGTTATTATTTTTTTGTTTGTTTTAGAAAAGCGTCCAGTTTCAGCTGACCTGTAATCTGTGCCGAGGCAGCCACAAAACTCAGGTGTGGCTTTGTTTCTTAATTCTGAGGTAGGCATACAGCAAGTGACTTGTTAAAAATGAATATTAGTAATCATACTAAAGAATAATTTCTGAGTCATAAATACACTAACTACTGAAACAAAACCAACATACTAACATAAGGACTAATATTTAAAGTTTTACTGGTTTATATTTTAGAAATTCATCATGAGGTTTAACAGGTCTAGTTTACAGTCATTACAACTTTGAGGGGGATGCATTTTTTCTGTAACTTTTCCATTTAGGTGTAAATAAATACTTGAAATAATGAATAATTTAATTTGCATGAGCTGCCAGAGCTAGTGCTAGCAGCGAGGTTCTGATGAAGCGTTGCTAGACTGTCAATTTTGCGTCGGCCAATGACGGTCTCGATTCTAGGCTAAGCTACTGTAGCACGCCTGGTTATTACTTCTTTATATGCATGCCCAAAATCATAAAGGATGGTATATTTGGCAAAATGAACAGCACTAGCTTCATATTTTTTGTATTTAAATTGTTTGTAACTGGTTCCGATTGCTTAATCAGAACATACCTATTTCTCCAAATTAGAGTTGAGCAGGATGAGACATTACCTGTTATACACCTTCTTCAGAAGCTCACCTCTGGAGATCTCAGAAGACTTTAGAAGTTGACTTGATAAACCCCCTCATGACAGAGCTCCAAAACACGTCCAAGTCATCCTTTTCTTAGCTGCTGTGTAATTATAATCTCTGTTGTCTTAAAGCTTCTTGAGCACGTGCCATAGTGCCCCCTCTGTGTCTGAAATAAAAGATCTACGGACCAGTTTGAGCAACCTGAAGCTTTACATTGAGGTGAGAGAAGGTGTCTTACACCTTTCTGTGGAACCGTTTTAGATGAACTGACAACATAGATTTTTAATTTTTTTTATTGTGCTAAATTCCTGTTATGTCAGTAATCCATCTTAGACTGAGAGACCATCTAAAGGTTAAGGAACCCTTTGCAGGTGTTTAGGATTCATTAGCTGATTGGAGGGTGACTCTAGAATATTGCACCTTTTCACAATATTCTGATTTTCTGAGATTTTGAATTTGGGGGTTTCATAAGCTGTAAGGCATAATCACCGTAGTTATAACAAATAAAAGCTTGAAATATCTTTGTTTGTATGTAACGAGTCTCTCTTAAATTAGGCTCAACTTTTAAGATGAATTGCTGACATGAATGAACTTTTGCACCATAGTTTCTGTTTTTAACAGATTCACCTGTCGCCCACTGTCTCTCTGCAAACATAATGCTCTGTGATTGGCTCAACCTAAACTTAGCTGAGCCATGGATAGACCTGTTGCAGCAGCATTTGTAAAATACTGCAATAAAGTGTGCAATGATGGGAAATATTATTAAAATGAATCTTTAGTGATTTCATTTGTTCTGGCAGAGCTGTTGCTCACTTTGCAAAGTGATGAGCTGCAGCTAGCAGTCCATTTACATCAAAATGCACAATCTAGATTTTCTTTTAGCAGTAACTACTAAAATAAGTACAGTAGAAATCAAAAAGCGTGTCACATTCACCTGATTTACTAATGTAAACACAGTCCTGTAAACAACAGGTGAATACTAACTCTGTGCAGTCCTGTGCAAATCCAATTATAATAGAAAATACTAGAGTATACTTTATTATCTCAGACGATGGAGTCTTTTAACGATTAGAGATTTCTTAATTGATTATTAAACTATGGTCAGTCTGCCTGTTGTTTTGCTCTGCTTTATTTGAACGTAGTGAAGAGTTAGTAGCTGTAGAAGAGTTGTCTGAATTCATGTTGATAATTTGCATTACCAGTAGTTTTATTTATTTCTTTTCCGTTTTTGAAACTATTGTTTTGCTTACTGATATTTTGTTTGTACTAGTTTTGTGTGTGCCAATCACAGTGGACGTACAGTCTTTTGATTTGATTTCACAACAATGTTCAACATTTAAGCTCTTTGTTTTCTGTCTTTTAGAGGTCTACTGCCATACTGTACACCCCAACAGTTCAATTTCAAGTAAGTTTTAATATAATGCACCTTCAATTCATTTAAATGTGACAAGTACGTGGATAGTGGAAATGGCGTTGCGTCGGTATCGATTCGTTCACTGATTTTTATAGTAAAGGTAATCAGTTAGTCTCACAAAAACTCAACCTACCCAAGGAAAGGTCACCAACAAAAACTCAAACTAGAGCTTTAAAAACATTAAAAAAAAACAATAAACCATGCTATCTTCTTTAATTTCTAATTTTAGAATGACTGTTTTCTATAGATGCATCTGCTTCATAATGCTGCAAAATGAAAAAAATGAAGTTACAGCAAAACAGAAGTAAGCAGAAATAGGCTAATTATGTCACATTATTTATTAATATGTTAACTAGCTGTAATTACTAATAGACAGAATATGGAATCTGCTGGAGCTTTGAAATAGCAGATATTTCCTCTAATTAGAAAAACTGTCATATAATATAGTTATATACAATTATCCTGATATTTAGTGCAACAATACAAACACAAACATTTGTTGTTATTAAAATGCTTTAATCAAGAAATTTAATAGAAAGAAACAGTTTGATCATTATTTTAGTTTAGTTATGCTGAGATGCTTTTCAGTAAAAGTCAAGCTGATAACAATAGACCAATTGTTTATTGTACCTTTTGCTTTCATTTTCTTTTTCATTTTCTATGAAAACTGGTTTGATGAAGGTTAAGCAGACACACGTTCCTGTGTGTTTACCTTTAATCTCTGTAGATCTAAGTTGTCACAATACTGAATCTGAGTGAGAAGGGAACCCACTTCATCACAATGGTTTCCTGAACTGGTTTTTGAAGTTATCAAAAGTTTTAATCCTGTATGTAGAGGCCCTTCAGATGAAACAAATAAGATAACAGAGTGAGAAAATACAACTATTAGAACAATGGAAAGAATGAAATAAAGGTGAATCCAAGATGATCTCAACCAGGGGCGTGGCTGTGGTTAGGTGATTGGGTGGGCCTGGGACCCAATCAAATGGCTTCCTTAAATTAAAATGTTCTTTCAGGCCTTCATGCATGTAATTAAGTGAAACAGAACAAATGTTAAATTAACAATATTTCTGATATATCAAAGTCATGCTAGACATGTTTTTGTCCCTCATAAAAATCCTGTCCTAATTGGCTTTTTCTCCCGTCACTTTTACTTTTGAAATAATAATTAATAAACATTCAATACATTTTCATTGAATCCATCCATTTTCTGAACCCGCTTGTCCACGTGGGGTCGCGGGGGGCTGGCGCCTATCTCCAGCGGTCAATGGGCAATCGGGTGAGGTACACCAAGTCAGAGCACCAGTCCATCGCAGGGCAACACAGAGATACACATTTAGACAGACCAATCAACCTAACAGTCATGTTTTTGGACTGCAGAGAACCCGGAGAGAACCCACGCATGCACAGGGAGAACATGCAAACTCCATGCAGAAGGATCCCAGTTTGGGAAGCGAACCCAGGACCTTCTTGCTGCAAGGCAACATCTCTAACCACTACGCCACTGTGCAGCCCCATTTTCATTTAATTTCATTTTAAATTACCATTTAGAGTGCCCCGGTGACATATAGACAATTTAAGAATACCACTTCAAGTAGGAACATTTAAAATGTGGCCAGAACACACCTTCTCTCGCACCGTCCTGCTCCGGCGTAAACCTGAACTGGTCAGCTGCTTGTACGTAATCAAATGTCTAGGGGGGGTTGTTGAAAAGGCTGTAGTCGTGAGGTTCTGGACTTTTGCCTTTGACTCATGGCTTACTGTTGTTTTAATGTTGTTCTGGCTGAATCTGCGCTCTACTGCCACAGACTGGAATAAAAAGCGCTCCTGTAAACTACAGTGAGGTGGGGTGAGGTTCACTGGGGAGACTGGAGCGGACTTTGGAATATATGATCCCAAATAGAAGCTTAGATTTGAATTTAGACCTTGAATGAGAAGTTTTCTTAATCATGTTTTAATCACAGAAGAGGCAGCGCAGCATGCACTCTACCTGAATCGGTTATGAGAGCGGAGGCTGCTCTTGTTGCCGTGTCTCGGCACTACTTCAGCCAAAGTTTTAAAATCGCTTACTCCCGCATGCGCTCTTGTGCACCCGTGGGTCGTGTTCCACTGGAGCGCGTCTGTGACCTTTGAACCATAGCTCGTCAGCGCTCTGTCAAAGGCGAAATGGTCTTCCAGTGTGAGATGATGCTCAGATGCTCTGCTGGGAATCTTTTCTTGATTGATGTTACCACCGCTGCCGCAAAGTTCTCTGTGAAATTTTTGAAATGTCCTAGATGGGGTGTTATTTGCCATAACCACAATCTTACTTTTTAAATTTAAGCAACTATGTTTAGTGAGATAATTTGGTCAAGATTTAATTTCTCACGGTACAGGATGTGTTGTGAGTGCTTCTGAATGATCTACAATGATATTACATCAAAAATAAGGGACATGGTTGTCTTCTAGGACAAGTGTAAGAACATGATACTCAGATGTTACATGTTGGAGTTAATGGTGATACTTTATGAAGAAGAAATTCCAGATTCTGAAGGACAATTCATCTATCATTTCAATCAGTCACTGAGCCCTGAGGTAAGACGTCCTCTTAAAATAAAAATAAAAATTATATATGTATATATGAATAAGTAAAATCTTTGCATCTTTTTTTTGCATTTCAGATTGGCTGCCCACCATGTGAAACATACAATCCCCAAAATAGTGAAACATTCTTTAAAAGCCTAAAGAATGTTTTGGAAAAGCTATTAGTTGAGTATGAACACTAAAACGGTGTGAATACTGTAGGACACCCATGTGTATTTGTGTATATATGTAAATAAAATGTATGTTTATAGTTTTCACATATTGTACTGTAACCATAAAACCTGTGGACAAGCTATGTAATGTTAAATGCTTTTTGTATACCAAGAATTAATATATTTAGTTTTAACCTCCTGAATGTATCAGCCTATTCTGTTGTACAGCTGTTATATTGTATGCACATATTGTGTAATCTTAAGGACATTGTTAAATGCTGCAGAGTATAAAGCTTATGGACAAGTTTGCTGCTATTGATCTCCCTCTTGTGTATCTGCACAGTTTCAGTTAATATCCTTTAAATTTCACTTGGAGTTTTTTCTTAGCATTGTTTTTAAGTCAGGGTGAGAGTTATGAGTCCTATCTAGAATGTCCTTCCAGTGGGATGTACCTGGAAAACCTCCAGAGGCTATCAGGATGCATCTGAATCAGGACTGAACTATCTCTACTGACTCATCTTGGTGAGGAGGAGCAGCGACTACAGCTCATCCCATCTCTTGGGGCAAAGTCTCATCCACAGACTAGGGGGGATTCAAAGAATCTGAAGAAAAAAGTCCACAGGAAGCAGGTTGTCTTGCCATGAACAGGGATACTGGGTCAGTCCCTGGAGCCAGGTTTGTAGGGAGGAACTCACCTTTGCATACCTGGTGGTTGAGCCTATTGACATTTACAATAACTAGAAACAAGAACAAAACATGGAAGCTGAAGCCAAAACAAATGAGCAAATGTAAATTGTACCCCCACCCTACCCCAAGTAAAAAAGAAAAAATCATTCTGAAAGCAACCAGATATATTTTTTACACATGCAAGTGAACCAAAATATCCTTTTAAACAACTCAGAACTAAAAGAGTAACAAAATATTGATTTACATCAGTACATCGATCTGCATTGATACATCAGTCTGCATCGATACATCAATACATCAGTTTGCATCGATACATCAATACATCAGTCTGCATCGATACATCAATACATCAATCTGCATTGATACATCAATACATCAGTCTGCATTCATACATCAATACATCAGTCTGCATCGATACATCAATACATCGATCTGCATCGATACATCAATACATCAGTCTGCATCGATACATCAATACATCAATCTGCATTGATACATCAATACATCAGTCTGCATTCATACATCAATACATCAGTCTGCATCGATACATCAAGACATCAGTTTGCATCGATACATCAATACATCAGTCTGCATCGATACATCAATACATCAATCTGCATTGATACATCAGTCTGCATCCATACATCAATACATCAGTCTGCATCGATACATCAATACATAGATCTGCATCGATACATCAGTCTGCATTGATACATCAATACATCAGTCTGCATCCATACATCAATACATCAGTCTGCATCGATACATCAGTCTGCATTGATACATCAATACATCAGTCTGCATCCATACATCAATACATCAGTCTGCATCAATACATCAATACATCGATCTGCATCGATACATCAGTCTGCATTGATACATCAATACATCAGTCTGCATCGATACATCAATACATCAGTCTGCATCGATACATCAATACATCAATCTGCATTGATACAGCAATACATCGATCTGCTTCGATACATTGATACATCAATACATCAGTCTGCATCGATACATCAATACATCAATCTGATTCGATACATCAATACATCAGTCTGCATCGATACATCAATACATCAATTTGATTTGATACATCAATACATCAGTCTGCATCGATACATCAATACATCAATCTGATTCGATACATCAATACAACAGTCTGCATTGATACATCAATACATCAATCTGCATTGATACATCAATACATCGATCTGCATCGATACAACAATACATCAGTCTGCATCGATACATCAATACATCAATCTGCATTGATACATCAATACATCAGTCTGCATCGATACATCAATACATCAGTCTGCATCGATACATCAATACATCAATCTGATTCAATACATCAGTACATCAGTCTGCATCGATACATCAATACATCAATCTGCATTGATACATCAATACATCGATCTGCATCGATCCATTGATACATGAGTCTGCATCGATACATCAATACATCGATCTGCATTGATACATCAATACATCAGTCTGCATCAATACATCAATGCATCAGTCTGCATTGATACATCAATACATCGATCTGCATCGATACATCAGTCTGCATCGATACATCAATACATCAATCTGCATTGATACATCAATACATCGATCTGCATCTATACATCAATCTGCACTGATACATTGATCTGCATCAATAAATCAATACATTGATCTGTGTTTCATAATAATTTGTAATATTTATATGATGATCTCTAATACTTTCCTGTAAAATTCTTTAAATATATTTTCTAAGCAGAGGGACTGTCTAATCCTCAATTTTTGAATTTTTCAGAAAATCACATTGATGCTTCTTTTTTTCAAATAATTTCATCGGATTATTGTCACAATAATAATATGTTTAATATGTAAAGGTCAGCGGTCACTACAAAACCCACTGTTAAACAGTTACGTATCTAAAGCCTGTGAGGACATTATCCTATGTAGTTCAAAAATGTCCTGCGTGAGACACTCCCACGACTGCCAGTTTGGCAGGCATGGCTCAAAAGTTTTCACAAACACTGGTGAAGAAATCTCTCCCCAGGAAATAAATGGTTGTGTTTATCCATTTATTGAATAAAAACTAGGTTTATTTTTTGCATCTGAGCAGTCACACTGACTTGCACTTTGTAACATCCAGCAATGGTCAGTTTAGGTACAGTCTGACCTTTCAACATCTATTCAACATCTGGTCAGAAAGGAGACACAACATTGCATGTGTTTCCTTTAAATGAGCAAGCCTTCCTACCAGCTCACAGAATCTGCAGCTCTGAAAAATAAACAATAACTTTCTTTCCCAAGGTCTCATCTGTCTGCCTCCACAGAAGGAACAACTCCAGCTCGAATCGATTGCTAAATTCAAGAATGATTTCCTAAATCAATATGAACTTCTTCCATGACTTATAGTCTAGATAATCATTAAATAAACATTTGTTTATTACTACTTATAATAATTATAGTATAAAAAAAGGCTTCATTAATCTGTGCTCACTGAATGGATGTTATGTTATGTTTGTCTACTTGAACCTGCCATGTGTTCAACATGTTTTGACGACTAGGTCCTCACACCTGCACTCACACAATAACAAGTACGGTTAAGTTAAACTCCAACATATAACTTGCCCTTTTAACCAGTCAGAAAATCCGGTATCAGAGAAGGTATTTTTCTGAGTTGACTTGGTAACATCTCCCAAGCTGTCAGCCTTTGATTGGCTGTGCAAATCATAACATCAAAACCTTAAAACTGGATCATCATGAGTGATTCAGGAGTTCTAGAGAAAGCTTCAGACCGGCCACCTGCCGCAACCTCTTTAACTATCAAAGATTTTGACACGTCGTCAAAACCTTTTTGCACCTACAAAGCTGAGATAGCAAAACAGTTCCTGCAGAAACAAAGCTGATATTGTTAGACTCCTTAAGAGTCTGCCAGACGCACGGTTCCATCCAGCTGTTGTGACCCGAGACATCTCTGGACTGAAGAGTCATTACCACAGTATTCTACAGCCCTCCAGTGCCAGACGTCAGCCGACCCCTGCGACTTTCGGATCCACCAAGAGGGTCTCTCAAAAACGAGTGAAGTAGACATGACAGATGGCGTCTGATGTGTTTCTGATGATAACAACTTTATAGCTTAGAGCAAACCAAATTCTTTTCACCAGAACTCAGCTTACTTTGATAAGGAAGCTCTGACTGACATCGCATTCACACATAGGTTCCTTCATCACGTTTAGTTACATCCACTCACAGTAAATGCTTAGTTAATTAGTCATGTTTTAAATTGTTTGTAAAATAAATTCTTACTTTTATAAACCTGACTCTTTCTTGAAGTAACACGAAGTGTGGTTGATCACTGAAAAATTAAAGAACCTAGATCTTCTGAATTAAATCCTAGAATCATCTGAATAATCACATTAAAGACCTAGCAGGTTAATATTTTATATTTATATAGAATATTACATCTTCCTGGTCATAACAAATAAAAATCATCGATTTGCCTCCGCTACAACTTACATAACCACTGAATGCTCAGTGGAAGCAAGATGAGAACATTTAGACCCAGCCATTAAAGACACAACGGAAATGAAGAAATCTAAGAAGCATGTCTTTGCTTGTGCTCAAATTTCCTGTCAGATCTTGCAGCAGGGAAAATCCTTAAAAGATATGATGATAAAAACTATACATGACCAGGATGTATAATGTAAACAAAACTGAACAATTTTCTTTTTGTTGCTGAAGTTCAAAGACAATCAGATTTTCACTTCTGATGCCAAAAGTCGACTTTTTAGGCACTTCTTGTACATAAGCTGGTTTTACTTACTCACCGTATACAGATCAGGAGCTGAGGAGGGATTTGAGGTAATTTGTGGATATTTGGCAAAGCATTCTGTGTTGAAAGTGAAATCCTAAACAGATTACATGTTAAACAAACATTTAATACATCACATGGACTCATTAATCATCGCAAGAGATAGAAGGGTGTACTAATGTGAGACAGGGAAATGTCATAAACAGCCATAAGTTGAGGAAGAATACGTGGGAAATAGCAAAAACTAGTGTGGGGAAAATTTGACAATTGGCACATTTGTGGAAAACTTCAGGATCACACAAACATCTATGCCAGATTGTTGATGGGTAGAATTGTTTCATCAGTTGGATGAGTTTTAAAACTGGAACATGATCCTGAGGAAAGGATGTGCTTGACAACCTGTCTTATCTTTGGAAGGAGTCCAAATCCTGTCAGAGGCCCATGAAGACCTTTGACCTTCTGTAAAAGTGATGAAACACGAGGAACTTAATGCATTATATGTGAGGTGTGTATATTTTGAAAAAAAAAAATGTACACACACACACACACACACATATCTCTCTCTCTCTCTCTCTCTCTCTCTCTCTCTCTCTCTCTCTCTCTATATATATATATATATATATATATATATATATATATATATATATATATATATATCTGTGTGTGTGTGTGTGTGTGTGTGTGATGTTCTCCCAGCTCCTCTCTAGTGTCTTCAATCAATCAATCAATCAAAGCTTTATTTATAAAGCGCCTTCCGCAACCCTGTCAGGAAGCCCAAAGCGCTGAACATGGTACAGTT